CTAGAAGGTTTACGAGGAGTGATGTACGTTTATTTGTGTACTCCTTCTTACTTTTAGACTTCTAAAACATCGTTAAACAAATATCTTTTAAATATATAATATCAAATGTTTTTTGAAAGTATTATTTCTGTTTAAACTTTTACCATATTTAAAGTTTCATTGTTTTAAAAGTCACTTAATAATTCAGAAAATGGCAAAATGGCAGCACTGTGTATGGCATCTGTCATCATAGTGTCTCGATCAAGAATTTATTTGGAATTTAAGTGTTTAATTTTGTAGTTTTTATAATTATTATGACTACGAAAAAGTGTTTTGTTCCAGAATGTGATAATGATTCACATTCATCTTCAAAAATATTTATTAGTGTTCCTAGAAATTTGGAAAGAAGAAAATCAACCTTCTACTAGCGATGTTTCTCGTGAACTTTTTAATAAAAATACACCGGATTATCAAGATGTAGCAGCAATTTCTGCTAATTGTCCCCTTCAGGAAATTGAAAATGAGGCTACTATAAATTCTTAGGTGTATAACCTAAAAACCCTTCTGGAAGAAAATGCAGACTCCTGAAAGTTTTGAAGATACCGAATTTATTCATCATTTTGTGGAAGAACTAGTGATAAAGAAATAATAGAAAAATGTGGGTATTTAAACAAACTGGTTCCTGGATCCCATATAATGGCAGATAGGGGTTTCAGAATATTCAGCTACTTGAAAACATGGGATGCACTTTAGTAAAGCCACACCTAGTGTATCACAGAATGAAAAAAAGTTCTCCAGAAGATGTACAATTAAGTAAAAGAACAGCATCTCTAAGAATACATGTGGAAAGAGTTATAAGAAGGGTTAGTTAATTTAACATGTTAAAACCACATTCCTGTGTGAATTTTAAGCAAGTACATTTACTTATTAATATCTGCATAATTGCTTGTTAACTTACAAGAACCTATTTTGTAAGAGTAAATATTAATTTAATAAACTTTTTTTATTTGTTTTTTAATTTAATTTACCTAATTATCACATTTCAGGGATTATAATGAGTTTTTAAACAGCCAATGTAATTTTTTATAAAATTTTAACTTTTCGAGCAAATCAAAGAGGAATGAGTACCTGTATATGCATAGATTTTTTGGGACTAAAACTACTAAACCAAAGGCACCTATTTACAGCAGTTTAAAATGAAACATTTTAACAGAAACGCCTATGTCACAGTGATAAATATTAAAAACAACCAAGTTCAGTTGAATGAGGTAGCAAAGTCTATATATTCCAATAAATCGGGTAACTACATGTGGTATCACTGGTGATAAATTTAAAAATATCACAATTCTTGCCATCTTTTTCAAAAAACCAGCAAGTGTGCCTTCTTATCAATCCTTGACGAAAATGACAACAGTGATAAATGTGAAAAAAAAATATTTAATGTTGCTATTCCTTATTACGATAGTAAAACATGTTTGCAGTTCTGTTTATTTTTTATGGAAATCTAAGTAAAAACAACCAATGTCAAAGGATTATAATGTTTTCTCTGTCAAACCAAATATAGCACAAAATTAAAAATTGATCCTAGATCAAGCTAAAGTAATACCTTTATTGATAGTAGCTTTAAAAAAGGAGAAAGAATAATATTGACTTAAGTTATTATTATTAACATTGGTGATTTTTAATAAAAACTCTTCAATTATTGTTTACAAACAAAAATATAAAAATCTGTGAAAATTTTATTTATTAACCTTTTAATAAAAAATGAGAAAAATGAAGTAAAAAACAATTTATTTACAAATAAAAAATATATATACAAATCCTAAGAATATAAAAGTACTGATTTATTTTCCTGTAGTGGATGAAGAGGTTTCTTTAACAATCTAGCCAAGTGTACATCAATATTTACGCATTTTGATAAATTAGAGCCTTTCCAATAACACTGAGTAGATGTTACAGATGGTTCCTCACTTCTTCTATGAAGCCACATGTTTACAACCACCTGAAAAAAATAAAAGGGTTAGATATGCAGTTACAAAATAACTATATAACCAGCTACAAAATGTCTTATTTTATGTAACAAGACGAACAGAGCTTTACTGAACAAATCCAGTAAAGTACCTCGGATTTTCAAAACTTAAAAAAAGCAATCTCACCACATTTTCACATTTTTGAAATATTATAGAACTTTTCGAAAAAAACTGCTATTTTTAAAAGTACAATTTTTTGTTTAAACAGCTATGTCTCATTTTAGGCTATTGAGTATTGTAAAATAAAAAATTACGGGATGATGTGTTAGCTTCAAACGAATCTAGCAGAGCACCCCAGTTTTTTTTTAAACCACACCACGTTTTTTGGCTCCTACAATATTATAAAATATTCGAAATTTGGCATTTTTAAAAAAATTCGCAATTCCTTGCTGACTTCAAAGTTTTTTTTCTGAAAACAAATATACTTACCACATTTTTAGGATTTTAAAACAGCCTAAACATGTGTCATAAGTAGTTGTTTTTATATATCAAAAAACAAATTAAAAAACTGAAGTGTCCTGCTGACTTTGTTCCAACAAAGCACCCTGTTTTATTTAAAAATAGCAATTTTTTTAGTAAAGTTTTACAATATTTCAAGAGTCTAAAAATATTCTAAAAATGGGGTGTGGTTTTTAGAAAAAAGCTTTAAAAAACCGAATTGCTCTGCTGGCTTCTTTCGAAGGTTAGCAAGCACTATGTATTTTTTAAAAATATCATTTTTTTTGGAAAAAAAAAAATGATAATATTTCAAGTGCATAAATATATGGTGTTGCTGTTTTTACAGAAAAAACTTTATAAAACAGAGGTGCTTTGCTGACTTCGTTCGAAGCTATCAGAGCATTTTTAAGTTTTGCACAAAACGAGGAGCATAAAATTTTTGAAAAGGGTATAAAAATAGCCTAAAAATATGGCATATGTTTTAACTCAAAATTTCATAGGTGCTTTGCAGCATTCTTTGGTATCATAATTATTACTAGGTTCACTAACAAAATCTATTTTTAGATTATTTTAACACTTGCTGCGATTACAAAAAATGTCTCTTTATATGTCAAAATTAGAAAAAAATATTTATAGGAATAAAGGGCCTTATACACTGTTTATTATATGTGATATAAAACAAAAAAGCATAATAAATATTACAAACCTTGAGATGCAGCATATCCTAAGCATTGTGCACTAAAAATTTCATTTTTGTTAATTACAACAACCACATCATAAGGTTTTTGCCCTACTTTATGTTTAGGTGTAATTTGTCTCCTTCTCTCTTATGGAAAAAGTAATTATCTCCATATTCTTGCTTGGCAGATCTAAAAATAAAACCTGAGATAAATATGTTTTACTATAAGGTGTATTGCTCCATATAAACTGTAACTACCTACTATCAAAACAAATTATAAATAAAGTCTTACCTTTCTGTCTTTTGTAAACTGAGTATTGTTAAAAAATGCAGTAATCATCTCGGTAACCATATTTTCGTTTACAATGGGTAAAACACTTGATTCAACTTTTATAAATCCAGCTGATAAATTCATATTAATAATAAAATTAAACCAAAACAAAAAACTAAGGTTAGGTGGTGTCAATTTTAATGTCACTTCGACATTCTGTGTGTCGGTTTGTTCGTTGGCTTGGTTTTGTATAACAAAAAAAACTTCGACACAAGATGATTGGTCTATTCCCGATGACGTATAATTTCAAATTTTAAATTTCAATTGGGCTTAATTTAAAAACTTTTTGCTTTTTAACGAACTGACTATTTAGAATAACTTGTATAGTGACTATTACAATATAATTTATAAAACAGCATATCTCACATGTGAACATGGCCCATTATAGTAAAAATATAAAAAAAAATATTTTCTCCACCCTGTAACTTCTTAAGCAAGCAAAATTTTACTACTGGCTTAAATGAAATTATTTTTGTTCAAACTAACCATATCTGAAGTTTCGCCCATTCTTTAATGAACACCCTGTATAAGGAAAGATCAGCTGGCTACCAGCCGAGAATTAGGATTTTTTGTTCTAGTAATAAACAAAGAAAATATACACTACTCTCCAAAATTAACGCACCACCTTAAATGTACCATAAGTTTGAAGCTATTTTTCTTCTGAACCGTTGTTGATTGGATTTCGATTTTTTTTTCACATTATAGATCTATTTCTAAGGAATTACTGTACCGATGTTTTCTGGGAAATGACAACGTTTTACCCATATACAGGGTGTAACTTTGTGTTTTTTCATCTTATTTTGCAACATCCTGTGGAATTTATTAAAAACAAACGCTACATTTTATTAATATTGAGAGATAGCTCATCTTTTCTCAACATTTTCTTAAAAAATCATCTTGATATCTCTATTATCAAAGATTATACAAAACTTTAAATGTAACAAGCATTTATGGACATTTAAAGCAAATGAAAGCTAAGAAAACCCTTCTTACATAAAACTTAGTGACATTTAAAACAACTAAAACCTAAGAAAACATAACCTAAATAATCTTTAACAAGTTCCCTCTCTTAAAAACACTTAATAACGAGTATTTCCGCCTCTATTTCTAATTACTTCTTCACAGCGACTAGGCATACTTAAAAACAAGCGACGTATTAGCTAACTGCCTGCTTATATTCCATTAATGAGTATTACAATTCAATAAAATCACGTTATGCTTTGAACGGACTTTTCTTCTTTGTTAAAAAGATATCGAGAATTTTTTTACGAAAATGTTGAGAAAAGGGTGTTGCAAAATAAGAAAAAAAACACAAATTTATCTTTACACCCTGTATATGGGTAAAACGTTGTCATTTCCCAGAAAACATTGGTACAGTAATTCCTTAGAAATGGACCTACAATGTAAAAACAAAATCATCGAAATCCAATCAACGGTTCAGAAGAAAAATAGCTTCAAACTTATGGCACATTTAAGGTAGTGCATTAATTTTGGAGAGTAGTGTATATAACTTCTTTCGTTAGAAAAAATGTCTCATGCCTACCCCTTATATGCTGCACAATGAGTAGGAGTTTTTCCAGTGTCATCTTGATCATTCAGGTCAACACCACATTGCACAAATTTTCTTCCACATTCCACATAACCCGAGAGGCAACACATATGTAGTGGTGTCCTACCTTCATAACTGTAAAAAATTACATTATATTATACAAGTTAAATATGATATTAAAACCTAATTTAAATTACTAATTGAAAGGTTGTAGTAAGGTTAGTGGCATCTAAGAAACAAAACGGAGGATGTTTGGTTGGATATAGGCCAAATAAAATAACTGCATTTTGTTTTAAATGTTGCTGACGTTTTGACCTTAAGGGAAGGATATCCTTCGAATTTCTGAACGGTTTTAGGTCAAGTTAGATTTCATCCGATTTCTTTCAGATGGTGAAAATAATTACAAAAATCTTAAACTGTAAAAAACGGACTAATGCTTATTAGAGTATTGCGAACCGATTTTTAGTAGACTAGCGAGTAGTGACGAAGACATAAAATAGACCAGAATATAAAATCTATTTTTCATTGATTGCTGGAAAAAATACTTTCTGGAACTGTGGAAGCGAGCTAATCTTTTTACAAATTAATTATAAAAAAATAATATTAGTACGTTTACTTTAATTTAATACTTTTTTCTAATTTTGACATATAAAGTGACATTTTCTGTAATCGCAGCAATGTTGAAACTGATTACGAAAAATTCATTGTCACCAGTTACGAAAACAAAAAAACCCTTTTTGGTATTAAAATCAGCATATCACCCTGTATGCTGTATTATACTCAGTTGTTTTGAAATATCCAAACAAAAGTTTTAAATATAAATTAGAGTCCAGCTCCATATTTTAAAATTATTTCGTAATATATAGGGTGTTTCACAAAGTCAGAGCATACCAATGTTTTTTTTTAGTGGAACACCCTATATTTTATCTCGAATTTGAATTTTGCTCATTTTCCTCATTCCAGCAATATAGGGTTTTATTAGGTTCTACATCTCACCTTGTATTATTTAGAATCAACAATTGAGGGTTATTACCTCAAGGCCAGAATAATTTCGTAGTAGTCTAGTTTTGATGCAACTCATCATGTTTTTGATATCTTTCATTTTGTATACAGGGTAACCCAAAATCACGACCATGATTTTCTCGGTTATCTTATATCATTTTTATAAACTACTTACAAAATACTTTTACCTTTTGTTGACCATTCCCTATACCTAAATGTTACAGTCGTAGAGTTTTTTCGATTTTTAATAATAAAACGATATTTTTGGCAAATACAGAAAGTTTCTTATAGTTGGTCGTGACTGTCATATTTGACAGAAGGTATTAAGTAATGTTATTATGAGATCTGTATACCCATTCATAAATGGTAATGTTAGTACCCGTAACGCCATCTATGTTTCAACTTCATATAAGGGCTTTTCCTGTCATAGTCATCTGTAGTCTGTGACCCCGTAGAATCATAGATCATACGTAGATGTCGCCACGAGTACTAATGAAAATTCTACTCAACATCGATGTTTTTAAAACAACTAACATAATATCGTGTCTTGAAGTAAAATAGATTAGTCTTTTTTGTTTTTTTTTTCTTCTAAATATTCAAATGCTTAAATTTTATTTTAAAACACATTTGGGCCAGAACGGTTCTATTCAGTAATCACTTAAAAAGGCGATATAGCATAGTCCATTGCAACCGCTATTGCAACCCGCTTTTCGTAGTCATATTTAAATATGGGTGAGCAATCTCTATAACGATATATATCATTGGTTTATAAATATTTAACGATCGTTAATAAACCATGTTTCTGATCTGTAGTCAACTCTGACCATTCATGGCATGTGCCAACTATGAAGAATGTCTTTTTTTTTGTTAATATCGTCGAAAAAGGCCATTAAATTTGTTTATGCTTGCTTTCTTATTATCAAGAACAAAACTCTATTATTTATTAATTGTTTAGGGTGTTGTAGCGAATCTCGTCGATCAGATAAATTATTTTTTTTACTGTCAATTTTTGCAATAAATTCAAAAACAGCAATTTTAAATAGAGATTGAAGGGACCTTTCAAATGAGGTATCACATATTTACAAATTTGGGAGTTGCAACTGTCACTCGAAGAGGGTTGAAGGTAGGAGTGACATTTTCACATTGTCATTTTGTAATCTAAAATTTATCTGTTTTGGGAATTTTGTAAATATGCACAGTAATTCAGTTACTGAATTTAATCCATTTGGCTGTTAAACAATGTAGGGATAAAAAAAAATGGTGAAAATATATTCGATTAGAGCAACGACTTTATTACAGTATATTAACTCATTTATTGAATGAGGAATTAACTTAGACGACATTTTTGGTCCAAGCACTTTTAATCGATTTGACATGGTATTTAAAAAAAAATGAATTATAAACAATGTCAAATCGATTTCAGAAAACATGCAATATTTCAATATCAATATGAGTGAACCAAATTGTAGGTAAAGGTTGAATTTAGGTAGCCTTGCTATTTATTTTTTCATTTGTTTAAAATCAGGGTTAAAATAATTTTAAACGGCACCTTTGAGATGAAATAAAATGGGGTTGTTCAGGCCCGTAGCGAGGGGGGGCTGAGCCCCCCCTAAAGCTTGTCTGCGCCCCCCCTAGAAAATTGCCCATATATAGAAACGCGATTAACGGCCGTTGAAAAATGCAAACAATGAACAATGAGTCGCCTCGACGATTTTTAAAATTGTACTGATTTTTTTTTGGAAATGTGAATTGGGAAAAAATGTAATTACTATAAAAATTTTACAGTAGAACCGTTATACCAATATATTTTTAGTAATGGTTCTGAGTTACTTATATTATATTCTCTTACAAGACAAATACTTTATTTATTAACAGTTACTTATTGCTTACTGTCCATTTTAATCAAAACATAATAAACACAAAACCACAGACAATAAATTGGAAATCGGATAACCATAAATTTTATTTCGGTAATTCCCCTAATTTCCCTGTAGTGTCAAACCAAGATATTTTGTTAAAACTTAAAACTGCTTACTAATAGATAGTAGTACACGCACAGACAAAATTCTACAGAGCAGGGAGGCCACACTGACTGACATGATGAAAATAGTTGTGCAAACGCTTGAAGAAAAGAGAAATAATGATGAGTACCACCGGCTCGTTAATATAATGAGCGTACAATTTTCAATTATTGATTCATCACCGCCAAAAAAAGAAAACCCAGCAAAGTGTTAGAAAATTTTGTACTTACCGATCCTATGAGATCTACAGTCGTTAGCGAAGCAGATTTCAAACAAATATTTTTTGAAGTTCTTGACATAATATTAGTAGAGCTAAGACGTATATTTAACGACAACAATGATTTAATTGAAGCTATTATTTCAGAAGAAAAATTAGATATTGAAAAATATCAACCACTGGCCGAACTGGGCATTCAATTGACAAGTGCTGCGGAAATAGAAATCGTCAAGAAATATATAAATCGACAGAGAAACGAGAATACTGCAGAGAATCCCGATATTTTTCAGTGTATTTTTAGGCAAAACACTGCTTTTAAAGAAACTTATGAGTTTCTAGAGACTTGCCATACTTTCTCCTGTAGTACGGCTCTTATTTGTGAATTCAGTTTTTCTACCCTTACTAGAATTGATAGACCTCAGCCACCTCAGCGGAGGTCAATGTTACATCCGAGACTGGCAAACCTTACCTATTTAACATTTGAAAAAGAGAACAAAAAACATAAATATTAAAAAATCTGCTGGTTGAGTTTATTAATTTAAAAAATAGGAAACTGCAATTATTCTGAAAATTAATAAAAAAAATAATTTTTTGACTCTTTGGCATATTTGATGCCGCTTTTACTAACTCAACCCTCAACCAGTTAGATGTTCTTTGGAAAAGACGTTTTATATTTTGTTGTTGTAGAGTTTATTCTTTTGTTTAAACAAATTTTTTTTTATTGAATAAATATGTGTTTTGTAATTGTTTGTTTTTTTAATACCCTCCTCAGAGGAAGGAATTCAAAACAAAACCTAATGTCTTTTTGCAATTTTTATACTCTAATAAAAAAAATGAAGCCCCCCCCCAAGATTTTGTTTAGCCCCCCCCTGAAACGTGGGGCTAGCTACGGCCCTGGGTTGTTATGATTGGTTTTTTTTTGGAAAGTTATAAATTTATAAATTTTCAATAGTAAGTTAATAAGTAAGTTAGTCGATTTAACTTTTGTTCCCCACATACGGTTTTTATATATATGGATACCCCGTCCTTAATAAGCTTTTCAGTAACAATTTTAGTAAAATATTTGTGAAAAATTTACAAAAAAGTAGCTATAGGTAGATGTACAGGGATTTTGTTAACTTCTGATCTTTCCTGAATCCAATAAGAAAAGTATAGGAATCATGATTTTTTTCGACCTCGAGTTTTTGAAGAACAATCTGGAGGTACTTTATATGGGGTAATTTTTCTAATGTAAGGTATATTTATGTTATTTTTTATAATAGAAGAACATTTTTTTGAATAAGTTGTTTACAGTGTCATTTTTGTCCTTCACATAATTTCTCTAAAAGGACCGCAAGAGACATTTGAAGAAAATGCTAAAATTCGAATTTTTCAGAATTTTCGTTGGTTATGAAGATATGAAAAAATGTTTTAAACATTTTTTATGAATACTTTTTATGGACCATACTAAATATGGTTGATAACTCTACACTAAAGTTATGTGTTGGACATATCATATTTTTACATTAAATTAAAAAAAAACATATAGAAGACATCGACCCAACACAACACTTTCTAAACAAAATCAAAACTAACAGTTAGTTTATTTGGACCATATTCAACCAAACACCCAGATTAAATCACAAACATTGCTCAAGCAGAAAAAGTGTGAAAAATATTAGAAAAAAATGTATCAGCAATAGAATTAGTATAGACGTGGAACTTGTTTACCCTTTTTTGGATGGATTAGCACCAAAAGTAAGCAAAGTGTTTGCTAACAAATCATGACCATATTGTGCGGCAATATGTAATGGGGTACAGCCATTTTTATCTGCACAATCTATTTGAGCACCTAAAAGTGATTAAATTAATTAAACAAATTTAAAAATATGGAACAAGCACAATTTAACGAAGCAAAATTATTTATAAATTAAAATTAATTAAAAATAAATTAGGAAGTTTTTAAGTCAAATTTTTGCCTATTGATTTTCCATATTTTTCTATTTTTTTGGTTTCAATAGTATCGAGAAACCTGGAAAGTTCCTTCTTCCTTGAAATCCTAAAATTTGGGACAATACTCTACTTTAGTTAATTATACGAGGTTTATTTTAAAGTAAGGTCCGTTTGTGAATAAGATTTAAAATCGCATGGCAATGATCATTCGCGTACATGCCCAGCACGCCTTTTGCTTATGTGTAAGCCATTTGCAGCTACTTTATCTGTCTGTACTCTGTTCGTTATCGTTTATAACATTTAAGACAATCGAGAACCCGGTCGACTGAGAGATACGGCAAAAGAACAGAACGTAATTTTATTCACTACAATACTACAACAAATGATTAACAGCAGGTTACAACATATAATATTATAACATAGGTTAAATTAATAGGAATTAAATAAAATAAAATATGTTATCTAAATTACTAATACAGCATACATACACGTACAAAAACATAAAAACAAAAATACAGAAGATGTAACTACTAACAAATATCGTGCTGTAGTGAATAATATATATAATAAGGGACACCGGATGGTATAATATCCACTGTTGGCATATACTTATTTCATTATTCTCGTTTTGTTTATCTTAAAAAAGCTAAAATAATTCAACCTATTTTATTCCAATTGAACCCAAAAATTGAATCAAATTTACCCGTGGGTTGAGAGGCTAACGGACGCGTCTCCAGGTGGTGGATAAAAGGAGAACCAAAATCTCTGGCTAGTGGCAGATATAAGTAGGGTAAAGGGATATAAAAACCCCCAAAATCCTTTACGAAATCTATCCTGTCGTAACTTTACGGGTCCTCACTTTAGCAGAGGGGCTTACAGTTTAAGGATACGACCCTACGGCCAAAGGCACAGGTATATACAGGGTGTCTGTAAAAGGTCTTTACAAAAACATACCACATATTCCTTACACCAAAATAAGTCGATTTAAGTAAAATTACCTTAGTACAAAGTTGCTTCGTTTGGGCTCCAGAGGGCCTTGAAGTTACAATTTTTAAATCGTTTTTCCCATATAAATTTAAAACGGCATATGCGATTTTGCTGAAATTTGGTATATTGATAGAGTTTTATGTGACAAAAAAATGGTATTTAAATTTTATCCGATAATAATACATAGAAGTAGAACTTGATTTTTTAAATATACCAATATACCAAATTTCAGCAAAATCGCATATGCCGTTTTAAATTTATATGGGAAAAACGATTTAAAAATTGTAACTTCAAGGCCCTCTGGAGCCCAAACGAAGCAACTTTGTACTAAGGTAATTTTACTTAAATCGACTTATTTTGGTCTAAGGAATATGTGGTATGTTTTTGTAAAGACCTTTTACAGACACCTTGTATATGCTATGCCTTTGTAAGTAGGAGCCATTGAAAACTAACCCAGAAGGAGGAACGCCAGGTTTAATCTAAGGTGTCAGTAAACCGTGCCGAGGCATGAATAGCAGCTGTGCCTTCAACGAAACAGCTGAATCAAACGGTATCTCGGGATACCGGCCGCCCGCCCAATCTCAGACAGAAAAGCCAGAGATAGCGAAACAGACCACGGAAGTTGACTAGGCAGAAGTGCCAACAACATCTACAAGGCTCAGATCCAGAAGGGTCACCTCCGAAGAGGAGATTGTGACCTAATGTCAGACACAGAAGTCAGATTCTTTGTCATATCCGGTCGAAGAGCAAGGCTAAACAACCTGGTAAAATCTGGCCAAGATTTCATTGCTGGCAAACGAGGCATAATCAAGTAAAGCTTTGTCAGATCCCAAGTTAAGCCACCTCAAACTTCGACTACCGAGGCCGACCAGGTCGATAAAAAGACCACAAAAAGGCCAAAATACCCTCTCTGCAGATCGAAAAGTGGAAAAAATGGTCAAACTTGAAGGGATAACTTTCAAAGAGGCCCTTACCATTACAAATATCGCAGTGGTGAGAACCGGTTTTCCAGAGGCAATTATGGAAACAGAGCAGCGAACAGCTGTCGAAGAATCAATCATAAGTGCCTACAAAGGTATCCCCATGGGAGGGCCACAGGTGCGTTTTGCCAAACGCACACACAGGCCGAGATACACAGTAGTACGTTGTGCAGACAGCCTTAGTACACAATGGTTGAAGGATGTGCTATTGTACAGCAAAGGAAACAAAAAACTCCGCGCTTGTGTAATCTACAGCCACAGGGTTAATTGTATAGTAATGGTGATTTTGTTACAGCTATGCTATCAATCCAAACAAAAGAGGGAGAGAAGAGCTATGTTGTATGCTCCGCCTACTTCGCGGGAGAGGAGAGAATATGCCCCCCAGCAATACTAGGCAAAATCATTGGCCATTGCGAGGAGCAGAAATCTAACCTCATTATAGGATGCGATGCGAATGCACACCACATGATCTGGGGAAGCACCAACATCATTCCAAGAGGTTAGTCACTATTAGAATAAATTCTAGGTGAAAGGTTAGAAATTGTCAATAAAGACAACAAACCAACTTTGGTCATTGCTAACCGAAAAGAAGTCCTAGATATGACCCTGTGTTCGAGAGGCACAAATGACCAAATCAGGGACTGGCATGTGTGGGATGAACCATCGATCACAGACATATCCGATTCCACATACAATTTCAACTCGTTATAGCAGACAGGTTTAGAAATCCGAGAGAGACGAATTGGGAAGGGTACATAAAATCCCTCGAGGAGTCTCTCAAGGATGAAACCACCAATGTACGAGAAACAAAAACACTCGAAAGGACAGTAAACTTGGTAAACAAGGCAATTACTGATGCCTACCAAGAAAATGGTCCCGAAAAAGAGAGATGCCAAACGAGAAAGACTGTCTGGTGGAATAAACACCTAGATAGCCTGAGGGGCGAGGTGCGAAGGCTATTCAACAGAGCCAAATCCACACAAGACTGGACTACTTATAAAAATAAGCTCACAGAGTATAACAAACAAGTACGCAAGGATAAAAGAAACTCCTGGAGGAAGTTCTGTGAAGAGGTCTCAGAGACTACCGTCAGCGCCAGAATCAATAGAGTTATAGCCAAAGACAGTACATCTAGTCAAGTGGGATTCCTCAAAAAAGAGGATTACACTTGCACCACGACACTAGAGGAAAGTTTCCGGCTTCAACTATCCTAACAGGACTAGATTCAGGAGACCAAGGGAACTACAGTCACAAGGGGATCAGACCAACTCCAATAGACTGGAAGCTGGCCTCCGAAATCACAAGATGAAACAGGATTAGTTGGGCTATCAACAAATTCAAGACACAAATCCCCGGGGTTGGATGGAATATATCCAATTCTGCTTCAGAAGGGTAAGGATGTGTTAATGCCACATTTATGCAAAATCTTCAGAGCATGCATTGCCTGGAGATATATCTCAGCAATATGACAAAAGGCGAAAGTAGACTACCTGGCCAAAGTAGGTAAGATCACAGACCAAACGCCTACTTAAAACTGTAGAAAGATTAATAGATAGATATATCAGGGACGAGATACTAAAAATAAATCCGCTACATCCCAACCAATATGCATACCTGCCAGGAAAGTCAACTGACCTAGCGCTGGACGATCTAAACAGGCTGCTTTCAAAGTCAATAGGTGACAAAGAAATCGCAATAGCCACTTTTTTAGATATCGAAGGAGCTTTCAACAATGCCGCAACCAGGTCAATAACCAATGCTCTACAACAGAGAAACGTCCCAGTTACAATATGCCAATGGATTACTGCCCGTCTAGAGAACAGGGTCATTTTATCCACTCTAAGAAAGGCAACCATATAGGCAAAAGTTACATGGGGCTGCCCACAACGAGGAATATTATCTCCAATGCTGTGGTCAGTTCTTGTAGACGACTTTACTCAAAACATTGTCCAAAGAAGGCTACCAGTGCCTAGGATACGCAGACGACCTAGCAATTATCGTCAGGGGGCGATTTGCAGGCACAGTCTCGGAGCGAGCTCAAACAGCTCTAAACATGATGAACAAATGGTGCAAAAAGGAACAATTGTCCATCAGCAAGTATCGGGCAAAACTATTGCCATATACTCTGATAGCCAAGCAGTTCTAAAGGCAATTCTCTCATCAGAAATCAAATCACGACTGGTGAAAGACGGTCTAGAAGACCTGGCAGAGCTAAGTAGTCAAAACAAGGTGACCTTAGCCTGGGTGCCAGTCCATGAGGAATATTAGGGCAACGAAAAGGCCGACGAATAAGCCCGAGAAGGCTCAGATAAGGCCATGACAGGCCCCGAACCCTTCTGTGGAGTGGCTAAGGCATTGTACAATGCATCCATGAAACAATGGATGCAAAAAGGGTCTCAGGAATGGTGGAAAAACTAGCCAAGACTGAGACAGGCCAAACAGTTTATCAAGGAACCATGGGCCAAGTTCACGCAAAGACCTACTTGGATCAAAAGCGTCACATCGTTAGGATAACAGTAGTTCTTACCGGACACTGTCGCCTTAAAAGTGTCATCAATCCAGCAGAAGAAGCAACTTTGTGCAGGTTCTGTGACGAAGAGGAAACATCATTCCAAGTCCTGTGCCAATGTGAAGGCCTGGCTGGAATGAGGTTTCTAACGAATATTTCAAGAGCGAAATACAGATCAGTATGGCCGTGTTAGCAGGTAAACAAATTTTTGCGTGATTACCAATTGTAGTAATGTAGAGAACATCGGCAGTCAAGAGCGGGGAGTGCGCGGAACTGATGCGGTAGTAGCGGACCGTCGTCGGCGCTCCCCCAGGCAGAACGATTTGAGTCGCCTTGAGTGTCTAGTGTGATCAGCTGTTGGTGTTGGCTGATTCTCACGCATTGTGTTCTATCGGTAATCACTTGGTAACTAAATAATTATTTGACTTAATAATTAATAAAATCTAACATACATTTATTAATTTTTGGTCCATGCTAGTACGGTATTACCCCTTTGACAAAAATGTCAAGTTATCATTCTTATTTTTCAAAAGGATAAAAAATGATGAAAAAAATGTTTACAGGGTAAATAAAAGTTCACAGTATCCACTTAACTTATAAAAGCTAATAATATGAACTGAGCAATATTTTTTTAATTCCACAATTTTAAGAAGTTATATATTACGTTTTAATCACTTTACGTATTATAAACTATTTCCTCATTTTGGCAACACTGTTCTTCAGAGTATTCAGTACCTTGTGGTGCTTGAGTGAATTGGATCTTGGAATTTTCTGGATTGTAGATAGTGTTTACATAGAAAAAATGGCTGAATTGGGTTGGGAGTTTGTTATAGAAATAATCGAGCGATATAGGGACTTGCCATTGCAGCAATAGAATCTGCATTGTTTTTTTTTTAAGAAAAGGTAAGAACGCAAATAAAGGCACAGTACAAAAGAAGATTGCTTCATCATCTGTCTTGACAATTTTTGGTTAAAAAAAAAAAATAACACAAAAACTACATCATTCATGCATCCATTTGGAGTGACCGTAAATGTAAAATTAATTTGGATGTCGTTCAATGGAATCATTCCATTTGGAGTGCTGTGAATGGGGGTCTTAACACACACATTATTATCTGCTACAATGTGCACACACATAAAAAATCTTAACGTTCATACTAGAACGTATGTCTAACTCTTATTCTAACATTCTTGAACAAAAATGGAAATTATGTAGAAAAGTACTTAAATATAGTAGAATATAAGAAAAAAAATCATTTTCATTTTTAAATGTAATATTTTTTAAACGGACCTTACGTAAAAAATAGGAAACTCTCGTATATCACCCAAACTAGAAATGTGTAATATCCTTGCCAATTGTTATAAAAGCAACTACCGCAATAGAAACTATTTTCCTATTTGTATAGAATAAAAACCATTCCCCAATCTTCAAGCAACTAAATCACAAACTAAAATAGTTATTAAAATAGTGCTGGTTGGCAGTCAAACAAAACCTTCTGACCTAGCAGACAGTTACAGTTCGTGGGTTCTGGAATAGGTGAAGCATTTTTATTAAATTAGTTACTTATCAGAAGCGAGATGGACAGTGGCACGTCTTTCCAGATACAAGTCAACGAAATGTAAAGATGTGGAAGCGATTAATTGTCATCATCTTCCAAACCCACAAAATATATTAAAGATATTGTTTGTATGTTGTATGTACATTAGCTGAGTCGTTTCTAATTCTGATAATTCTTTTTCAATAGAAAATCTAAAATTTCCTATCATGACCTGTCAAAATTCCATTAAAGGGTGCTTGCTTCTATTTTAACGCAATTGGTGTCAAATGAAAGATGATAGCTTCCTCTTTAACAATAACAAGAGTTGCCTTTTTTCACTCCTTCCAAAAAGGTAACACTGAAGTTTGTTATTTTAACGTCTGCAAATCATAGTTGCTCTGGTGTTTAGCAATAAATAATCTGCTATCTCTGTGTATGAGTAGCTGTCCAATATCAGATCAACCTATGGATCCCAACAAGTGCTTCCGAGTGAAGCAATGGAACCAATTCATTCTTCTTCAATGCTGGGTCACAATGGATGAGGAACGTCGCTCTTGATAATGTGCTTAAGGTGTAAAACGCAACTGTTTGTTTATTTCCTCTTGGTATTATTTACAGCATAAAGTTGCATTGAGAATGGGTGAATCCATTTGAATTTTGTGTTATAACAAAAATACAATATTATACAATCTTGGGGTAGCCATGTGTGAGTTGGTTTATTAAATGAAGGGTAAGAAATAAAACTTCCTTTATATCTCACAATGATGTATTTCTTTTTGAACCGAACTGTTTCGAAGTCTAAAACTTCATCTTCTGGCATTCCTAGTAGGTAAGAGAAAATAACTATGGTGAAATTCTATTGGTAGAAGCAAGAAAACGCTGATTTAATTTTAAGAATCAAAATTAACATTACTAATAATCTAATAACACTAAGGGCACAGGGCTGTCACTCCCTATACTTCCCATGTTAAATTCTGGCTCAAATCTTAATGACCTCGGTACCTCTTCCCTATTGGTCTGGGGTCTCCAATCAGCACATTGGTTGCTGACACATGAGAAAAAAATACCTCTAAAAGTAAAAAATATTCAGGTTTTAAGCCACTTGAAGACAAAATTAGTGTGGTCATTACAAAATTTATGTTTTTTGGTTTTTAAAATTATGTTGACCTCGATGCCTCCTCCCTATTGGTCTGGAGTATTTTAGCAGTTTTTCACTGCACAGACCTTCATGATGTAATTTGTATTAAAAAATATAAATCTATAACAAAATTCGATTACAAATAAATTTTTAAACCAAAAAGAGAAATGATCAGAAAGCTAGGTTATATTAGATTAGATACATTTTACCCTCGTAAAATATTTTGAATTTTTAAGGTCACAGACGTTTTATAATTAGCATTAGTGCTTATTTTTTAATAATCTTTTTCTAATAAGACAATTCTGCAGTCAACAAAATGTTGGTTACTGAAGAAATGTGTAAGAGGCCAGTTGTGTTCTTATAATAATTTTTAAGATATTTGAGTTTTAAACGTGCTTTTATTAATATTTTTACTAGTTTATTTTATTTAAAAATATTATTATTCAAAAATAGGTTTAAGTAAGGACATTTTAACGGATTTACATCTCAAATTTATAACAGATAAAAAGAAGCAGAAATTTAAGACAGAAAAGAGGCCTTTTATACTCGGTAAACATTGCTGATACACAAAAATTGTATACAGCGCATGACTTGTACCGAAATATCGTTTTAGAGCTTGTTGGAACAAAACTATAAACATCTGACAACATAATCATATGTGTATTGTCAATTGTCATGATCTGTTGTCTATTAAAAAAAAGGCCAAATACGTCATTGATTCATTTGATAGAAAAGAAGAAATTTAAGATTTAACATAAAAGTTGAAGCTGTCAATTATTAAGCATAAATATTAATGATAATAATAATAGCCATCTTGTTAGTATATTAATTTCTCTTACCCACTAGGAATGCCAGATGATGAAGTTTTAGGCTTCGAAACGCGTCGATTCAAAAATAAATTCATAATTATCATTGTGTTGTAAAGGACTCATTTCCTACCGTTCATTTAAAATATTATAGACTAGGATTATTACTTTACAACAAACTATACAAAAAAATAGGAAAATATCTTATGGAGAAAATAAATAATTGAAGCTAAATCACTAATAATTTGTAAATAAAAAACAAGCTAATATTCTAATAGATTATCTACAACTTACCATTATCAATTAGCGTTTTACTTCTTGTAAACCTGCCATGAATAGCAGTCATATGTAAAGGTGTTCGACCATCCAAACTCTGACAATTCAAATCAACATGTTGCCTTAATAAATAAGTTAAACAATCTACTCCGTGTGTACTTGCTGCTGCAATATGCAAGGGTGTTTGGCCCCTAAAATTTGCAGCTTCCAAGTTTGCACCGGAAGTGACAAGGTCTTGACAAATATTTAGGTGGCCATTCAAACAAGCAATATGCAGAGGAGTATTACCATAAACGTTTTGAGCATTTACATCGGCACCGGAGTTTAAGAGTAACTTGGTGACTATCTCAATTCCTGAAAATATTTTGAAAGTAGTGAAAAAAATTATAGCGAGTTCCAAATAACTAACTGTAGGCGAATTGAGCAAGTATTTTTGATAAATAGTAGTACATGGAAATCGTACCAAAAAAGAAGTGTTGCCTTACATCAAATGAGGTAGTTCTGATTTTTTATGAGTTGATAGTTACTTGCAAAAGTTACTATGGACACTTTTTAAGTAGACTAAATTTACAATTAAATGAGAATAATTTGGTTTTGGTAGACCAAATAGTTTTTTTTACAGTTTTTTTTAGGTTTCGACAATTTTTACTCCTAAGTAGTGGGTTTTTTTGGAAAAGTTACTTTTTTTAGTTATTAAAGTCGACTAAATTCCCAACAAAATGAGACCAATTATGTCAACTTACACCTGATAGTTCCTTGTAAGCCTCTGTACTTTATCAGAGGCAGGTCTATCGCTAAACGCTGCTATTTAGTTCAGCTTCGGGCCACCAGGTGTCTAACATAACATACGAATCTACAAAATCGTGTCGAGCCAGGTAAAGTAAAAACCTATTCGGTACCACAACCGCCGTGTATGGAGAAACCCGGAAAGGTAGCCACAGACGACCAACCCTTAACACTTAATCAGGAGCAACTAAAGTGCATTACATTATACAACAGGAGGAAAACCGAGAGCAATACAAGGAAAGCCCCAACTTTAAATGTACGAGAACACTCAGAAACGTCTCCCACGCACAGAAGCAGAAGTAGTAGCTACAGCTATTCGCTCCGTGCGAAGTCATGGAAAGGGAAGCAAAAGCGATACTAGCGCTAGCTGCGGATAATTCGTGCATTTTAGGGGGATATTTTGTAATTTTGGCATATCAAATACACGTATACAGTTTACTTTTTTTCAAAAAAGTAGGTAAAAACAACACAATAAGCAACTGGAGTTGCTGTGTTGAAAATTGTACAAATACTAGCAAAAAAACAGTGAAACTTATATAACAAATTTCACTAACAAAGTGGAAATTAAATCAAAGAAATAAATGGATAGGTGTACAATAAGAAGAAAAATTACCTTTATTTTTGTGATAATAACAGTAATGCTGGAAATAGTAGACATCATAAACTAGAAATTTTTTAAATAAACAATAAATTATCATTTTACGATGTTCTTTAATATCCCTTTATTCTTAAATGTTCATTCAGCAAGGACTAGATTTCAAGATTTCTGCCGTTGATTATAATATTTGGCTGGTATGCAATTTTGTGACTTACTGATCGGAAACCAGTTTTAATCATTCATTCTATGTTTTCTTTAGAACAAAAATGAAAATATAAGTAGCGATCCTTTTTATACATTTTAACTTCACGCTATTATAAATGGTTTCTTCAATGACAACTTATTAGACTTAGGCAACTTCTCATACATTTTCCAGTAAATACTGTTGCCTGCCTATATTTTATTATTGATTTTTAATGATTATACATAATTTTCTTCAATTTAAGCGTGAAAAATATATAATAATAAATTAATGTTTTAATTGTTTTATAAATCCATATACTTTTATTAAAACTAACATATATACTTTTTATTTACGAATTCTATTAAAAATTGTATTTGTCAGTATAGGCAGAAATACTCCTTTAATACCAAAACAAATTGGCGCTGCTGTCGCGCACGGAGCGAATAGGGAAAGTAAAAGTTGGCAAGGCTTTTGGTAGGTAGAGAAGGGGTAAACGTCAAACCACGTCGGACGGCTTCGAGAATTTTAAACGTAATTTTAGTAATTTTAGTAATGTTTACCTGCCAGTGTTGTTTCATAGAATAAGTAATTTTAAATTGTTATCGGCGGAACCGGACAATCGCATGTATTTATGGACTATAAATAATTATTAAACATGTATTATAATATTCAAATCATAATTTTACAAAATTTCAACAGCTATTCACAATTTATTAAACTATTTACTCGAAATTGTTATTAACATTTATAAAATAATTTTGTACACCAATGTATCGCGTCCACTTCGGTGAGATCCGCAGCAAACCTGTCAATTTATGTGTATAAAGGGGGAGAACTGGCAAAAGCCTTTCCAACTTTTACTTCTGTTCTACCCTTACAAACATTTAAGTACTCCTAAACCCAAGTCCAGAGAGAAAATTTCCAAACCAAAAAGCAGGGAGGTATCCCTTGACAAACTTGTCAAAAAAAAAGCTTGGAGAAAATTTCTAAGAAAACCACTATACTTGACAATAACTCAGGACTAGAAACTGTCATTGACCTAGCATATACCCATCACCAGTACAGACGGAAACGCTCTATCGAGCAAAAATGTCAACACTTTAAAAAGTATGGAGAAAGATGTAACTTTAAAAAATTCTAGCGAGTCAGAGGAGGTTTATAGAGATTTACAATCGCCGAATAAAATAGAAGATTCCCCGGATAGTGACAATAACGGTGAGTTCGAAAGTGCGGAGAATTCGCCACTGAATCATACGGTAGTGAATTTCGAAAGTATGGAGAAAACGGTAGACGATATTATTATAGAAAGCGCTAAGAAGGTGGAAGAAACATAACCCCAAAATTTATGTGAAAAATTGAAATAACCAAGTTTTTGGTTTTTTATTTTTATATTTTACAAAAACAAAAATTTTTCACGAAATTTGGTGAAAACTTTTTATGTCCCAAACACACTGTAATTTTTTTGAGTTAAAATATTTATTTTTTCAACTAATTTTTACTTAATATAGGAAAAGCACCCTAATTGTCAATCAAAAATTCTCCGGTCAAAATATCTGCTTTTTAAAAAAATTCGATGGGTTTTTTGATCTTTGAAATCTCTTTTTGATGGTGTAAAAAGATATATACAGTAAGTACCATGGTAAATGTTCTCAGAAAATACAAAAAAACGAAAAAACTCGAATCCGATTTTTTTTTTTTTTAATCATTCATTAGGTACAATTTTGAGCTATTTATTAAAATTTACACTTTAATATCTTGAAAAACGTAAAATTCCATGTTACGTTGATAAATTAAAAAGTACAAATCCATAAAACATAAAAATTACAAAAAACATGTGAAAATAGTTGTTCAAAATATTAAAGATAGGATTTAAACAGGAATTCATCTAAAAAATGTGACTGCTGCAATTTTTTTCAGTAAAAATGTTGATTTATTAAATTCTAATTACATTTCTGTCATAGAAAATCTCATAATATATAAATATACATGTAAATCGTATTACTGATTTGCCGAAAAAGGAAAGAAAAGTATCGTAAATTCATTATTAGACGATAAAAATTTGGCCAATATTTTTTAAAGAAAAGTTGCAAACAAAGAAGATATTGATTACAATTAATCAAATCTATTTATAAATGTAAAAATGATAATATAACACTGAATCAATTAAGATTTCGAAAATATCAATTGGCAAAAATTAAATCATCTTTCATATTGGCAAATCTCCCAACCCACAGAAGGTGCAGCAGAAGAACAATGTTACAGGGCATATTATCAGCTTCAAACTTGGCTGGGTAACGAACTGACAGCAACAGATTGGGCTGGAAGCAACATCAACGTGGCATTATGCCCAAATTTACAGAAAAAGAATTAATTTCGAAAATACTTCTCAAAACTATTTGCTGCAGCTGTGAAACTGGATGAAACAGTTTAAAATTTGGCTGCTAAAAACATGGTTTAAGATGCACAAATTTATGCTCAAATTGTCATGGTTCTAAAAAATGCTCCAAATGTGGAAGAAAAAACCTACGAGATGAAATTGTGGATGAAAAACTAATGGAGACTGGAAATAATATTGGAGACGAAGACGGTGATGGTCTTGAAGATTTCAAACATCGACTAGAATCGGGAAGGTTTGTCGAATCTAACGATGAAGAAATGCCATCAAAGAGACAAAAACTAATGGATAAGTGATTAGAATTCAAGATAAGGTATTTATAAATAACAAGACTGATGTATTTAAAAATATAATGAATAACGTAATCAGTATAAAGTATCTAAATTCAATAGTACAATTTACATGTATATTTATATATTATCCCAGACAACACACCAAATCCCAGAGATATCCACAGAATATCTTTTGTGGATATCCAATATATCCACAGGATATCAGAAATATTCCGTGGATCTAATATGGATATCCAAATGTCCGTCTATATCCAGAATATAGAAGATATCCTAATGGATATTCAGCAAAATATCTAATGGGTATCTTCCAGAAAATACAAGAAATCCCAGAGATATCCACAGAATATATTTTGTGGATATTCAATATATCCAATATGGATATCCAACCAAATGTCCGTCTATATCCCAGGCACAGGATAAAAAACAATACAGAAAAGAAACATAGGGCTAAAACAGGAACCTAGCAACCGAAGCCACACCTTCTTCATGGTGGCGCATTGTCAAAATTGAACCGTAGATTTGTTACTTGTTCGAAGTGCAACAGTTCACACTTTTATAGCAGATGCACGAAGCTGTCACTGCTGTCGCTGTTGGAAAATCAATATTTTTTTCCTGTCGTGTTTTTATTAGTCGTTTTGGATTTTTGGTTGTTTTTAGCGAATATTCCGATAACTTTTACGGTTTTTTAGTGGTTTATTTTTAGTTTTTGTTGATATTTTTAATTGTGGAGTTGTTAATTTAAGACTTTATTGTACGTATTAAGATTAGGTTTATAAACAATGCCACGTCAAAGAAGAGGAGGAGGAGGAGGAGGATATACTTTATTTATCGTGAATGTACCTCAATAACAGGTGGCAAAGAAGGATTGTTCACTCTTGTGAAAGATCCAGTGAGGTAGGTATGAAACCTTGAGGGTGAAATAGGAATTGACCTTGCCATAACATGATAGCACAAAGATTGTATGTATTTTTCAGACTTGAATTGTGGCTTAAGGCAGCAAATAGAGAGAACTTATTGGGAAAGGGTGTTGAACACTTAAGTAAAAATTACAAAATTTGTGAACTACACTTCAAGGATAAATTCGTTTATCAGTCAGAAACAAGAAAACGATTATATGCAAATGCATTCCGAACAGTATTTCCCCATTCAGAACCTACGAAAAGTCACAGTTTCGCAAGGTAAATAAATAAAATTTGTAGTTAAATGTTACAAAAAGTTTGTTACACGTCTTGTCATTTTTTTACATTACATTTAGTAGTTTAAAAAATAAAATGATAAGTACTAATAATCTTAGAATATCAACCCACACATTCCATTTTGTAGAACTACCTCGGAGGTAAACTGCACTATGTCGACATACAACAACTTATGCAAATTAAAATAAAGTAGTTTTAGTAGTTAGGTTAGTAAAAAATATAAATATTGTGACAATAAATGGGTGTCTAAATGCACATCTAGTTGAAATTTAATAATTTAACATTATTCAATCTGCTGTACTAAAAAGTTGACTAGAATGACAGTGCAGTTTAGCTCCTAGGCACAGAAATATATTCACATTTTATAAAATTATTTTAAATTTCATCTGGCTAAAAAGTGTGACTCAAACATTTAATTCTGACAAATGATGCACCTTCTTGACACTAAGTTGATCTGATAAAAATTTGGTTTCTCTTTCTTTTTTTAGAGGAATTTGTTGTTCATGGCGAAGAAGGCAAAGACAACTTGTGTCTACCCTCAACTTCAGCAGAAGTAGAATTTATTGAACAAGTGTATAGTCAACCATTTGTTTCTCTACCTTGTGTAACAGCACACATTTAAACGGGTAATGTGTTATCATCAAACACTCCAAGAAAGCAGAGACTGCGACTGAAGATAGCAACGCTGAGAAAACGTTTGTTTGGTGCAAAAAGAAGAAAAATAATTACTCATTATTTAATATTTTTATAAGTACCGTTTATATAATTATTCTATATTTTTGTTGTATATAGCTATTTTAATAAAGCTACTTATCTATGTATTATAAATTCGGCTTGCTCTATAAATCTGTGTAAACAATTTTAATTATTTTAATTTTCAAACAGTTCTATTTTAATAAAATACATGCACTAGATTATAAACTTATCAATTGCATAAATACACGTTATTTTATTTTTCTTTTTTTGTATTCATAAAATCCCTAAAATAGGCTTTAGCTAATGATTTTTTAACAATTATCCCAATTGATTTATATTTATGGATCATAAATGACCGGTGAGATTTGTGGCACAATATTAATAGTTCATTATGACAGGGTAAAATAAACTATTGTTTAAAACTTTATAATTTTTATTTTTGAAAGTTTTACAAATCAAAAAATAATTTACTTAAATCGAGAATAGTTTCAAATGCATTCATGCAAATTTTCATAAAATATGACACATAATTATGTAAAAGAGAAATGTAGTTTTTGCAGTGTAGGTTCAGTGAATAGCTACGTTCGCGTGTACTGTGAATAATTACGTTTTCTCAGAGTATCTCTGTGGTGGAACTCAAGGTCAAATATTTCTATCCCATCAACTTCAAAGTTCCGACCATTACTTTCTTTTCTGTATGTTCTTTCTTCTGTGTCCCAGGATATAGAAGATATTCGGATATTCAGCAAAATATTTTATGGGTATCTTTAGTAGAGTTTCATAAGTAACCAATGATTATTGAATAACGTCGAAAAAGAATAACAGATAAAAAATATTTTCAACACTCAAAATATTTTCAACACTCTGCCTTTGATTTTGCCCACTAAGGAGAAAGTCGTCCTTATTAGGACTCTTCAGCAATAAATGGAAATTCTCGACTCCAGTCTCTAATGGAGTCTGTTTAGGACAAAAATTTCGATCGAACTCAATTATGGCGGGTCGAGCATGAGTAGATGCGATAGAGGTATCGCCATCTATACTTAGTAAGCAGAATAAAATAACATCTAGTGGATATCCACGATGGTTTGCGTTCGCGCCTAGACTTTGATATATTTAGTGGATGTTCATGGGATATTGAATACACCTTAAAAAAATAATTTTTAATATCTGAAAGGTACTATTAGCCACAATGGCGTAATTTTTTAATAATTTGCTATATAATGACTATTATTTATGGACATTTGCATGTCTATAAATTACATCTCATGGATATAAAATAGATATCTACAATGGACTGGACATTCAGTGGATATTGGGATGTTCAGTAGATATCCAAAGGATTTGGTGTGATGTCTGGGTATGAGATTTTCTATGACATAAAAGTAATTAGAATTTAATAAATCAACTTTTTTACTGAAAAAAATTGCAGATGTCACATTTTTTAGATGAAATCCCTTTTAAATTCTATCTTTAATATTTAGAACAACTATTTTTGCATGTTTTTTGCAATCTTTATGTTTAATGGATTTGTAGTTTTTTTGTTTATCATTGTAACATGGAATATAACGTTTTTCGAGTAATTAAAGTGTTAATTTTAATAAATAGCTCAAAATTGTACAAATTGTATAAAAAAAAGTTCGGATTCTAGTTTTTTCGTTTCTTTGCATTTTCTGAGAACATTTACCATAGTAATGAATATATATTTTTTACACCATCAGAAAGTAGAGATTTCAACCAACAAAAAGCCCACCGACTTTTTTAAAAAAGCAGACATTTTGACGGGAGAATTTTCGATTGAAAATTAGGGTTCTTTTTCGATATTAAGTCAAAATAAGGTGAAAAAATGTTTTAAATCAAAAAATTTACAGTGTGTTTGGGAAATAAAAAGCCTAAGTTTTCACCAAATTTCGTAAAGGAATTTTTTTTTGTAAAAGAAAATTAAAAAACCAAAAACTTGATTATTTGAATTTTTCACATAAATTTTGGGGTTATGTGAAAAAAGTGTAAAAACGAAAGTTGTAGATCTTTTTATTACCTACAACTTTACCATTTAACTTTTTTCCATAGGACTTGTAGTTTTTCCGGAAATCGAGATAAACCGTTCTTTACCCTTAAAAACTCACCCCCTTCCTCTTCCTGACCTCGGATCGCCCGTAAATTATTTTTCCTTTCATTTTTGTTATATTATCTTCCTTTTCCAATGGATTTCATCCTACTTTTATGTTTCTTCACTTTTTACTATTTTCAAAAGCTTCAGCCCTATATTGTATGTATTTTAATTTAAACCCTTTTTAAATAAACATTATAATTATTAAGGATCGCTTACTGTTATAATCCCGGTATACTGAGTGGCACTAATAAATTAAAATATTACTCTATGGTAAAAGTATTAAAGCTATCGAATTATACGATTTTTTTTCGAACCACTTGTGCTATCATAGGCAAAGAAAATTAGGTTCTATGACTATCTCCTGATAAGCAATAAAGTGTAATAGACACAGAACTTGCTGAGTGATAAAAAATCTGCTCGATCAAAAATGTTGTCAAAAATCCGCTCTCTATTGATAATAAATAAATAAAATGATTTATTATTTAAAATATTCACCACAGTTACTTAATGAAAGAACTCGCTGCTTTATATTTTTAATACTTACCACTAGCAGCTGCAACATGTAATGGTGTGTATTGATTTCTATCTTTAGCATTTAAATCTGCTCCATATTTAATCAGTAGTTCTGCTGTATCAATATGGCCCATTTGTACAGCACAGTGTAAAGGTCTAAAAAATAACATATCAAAATAAATAACATTAATTCATATCTCATTAGAGAGATATTGCAAATTTCTATAACGTCAACCACTAATAGTGACAACGTAATAGAGGGAAATAAATTCCATGCTAAAAAAAGACTTTTTGCAAACCTGAAATTTTGACATTAGAGTCCTTGTCCTTATACATATTTCTAACCTCATTTTAAAAATATTAAATTATAGTTATCTTTTTTGTTGTTCATAATAGTACATAATATGGAAGAGACATTAGAAATTACCATTTTAGAAGGTTTATATGACAATGATATTAAATATTTAATATTAAAAAAAACTTCGAACTGATACGAATGTTGGCGAGCGCACCCGAAAACTATAAAGTCGCCACTAAATGCTGTCCTTAAACATCCACAATTAGGCATTCCAACGACCTGTCCAAATGGCTACCAGTGGGTAATAACAGTTTAGATATGGCAACCCTGTTGTCATGTTGTCATTAACAGGGTCAATGATACATCTATAGTTATATAGATTGCTTAAAGCTGGTCGTTTACGAGCGGCCATATTGCCTGGCAAATATTTATTAATTTGAATCGGTTTTGCAAAAATGTGTTTTAAAACCAATTTTTAGCCTTTAGATATTAAAAAAAAATAATTGCTTACATTTTTACTTCAAGGCATACGCTTATGTTTATTTTGAAAAATATGGATAATCAATCTATGTAACTATCTATTTCATTGACCTTGTCAAATCACCAGGTCTACAGGGTTGCCATAATTTTGCATTATCATAACCCGTCAAAGCCCACTGGTAGGCATTCAGTTTGGAATGCCTAATTAAGAGTTGACCTTAAGTGAACATGCAATAACTCTCTAATAACCTAAATATACAGGGTGTGTGTCTGGCTGGTTACTTGGCTGTGTGTCACGTAAACCATAACAAAAAATAATACAAAGTTAAAACAACAAATCGGAATTGTTCCCATTTTAGGTCATTGCAAAATTCAATCAATACAAAATGACACTCTAAACTTTGATGAACGTTAAAATCCGGATCAACATATAACTACTTTAGATAAGGACATGATTGTGGCGACATTGCAAGCACCACATAGACTTACCTTTAATTTTGACTTTTGTCATTTTAGTTTAAGACTTCTTAGGGTATGGTCCGTTATTTACCGACTACTAACCGCAAGATTTTTTGACAGCGGTTCCTGAAAAAAACTAATTTCTTGGTTACTTTTGGACCACGGCTGACAGTTGCGTCAATTTTGTGACAGATTGACATTCGACTTAATGGTAACCGCAAAAATATACCAGTTAGTGAATTGACATTTGAGTCACCATTTTCAGGTATCCGCGACCCTAATTTAACCGATTTTTCAGGAATGTCAAGCAGAGCAGTTAGTTTTGGACCGAGTAACCGATATTTCGGTTAATAACGGACCATACCCTTAGTCAATTTTATTTGAGGTTAGCCAAATGTCAATGTCAGAAATCGACGTTATAATAAACATCACGCTATGATCATAGTCGATAACCTGTGCGCACATTGAAAATCAATTAGATTTTCTCGGACGCATACCATGTATTTCACATTCTTCACAACAAATACTTTCATAAGTTGAGTTCGTTTATTTGGGGGGCTGGAGTTATACAGTTTTGTAAGGTACTTTTAATTATCATTTATACAAGTTGAACTGGCAATTATGTATCACTGATCGGAATAAGTAAACGCGTCGTTTATAGTCAAAGTTTGAGTGAAGCTAATAATCCACTATATATTACCATCTAGTACTCACCTAAAATCTTTTTTATCACAGGCATTGACCATACAGTTTCTAGATATGAGCAGCTCTGCAACATAGGTATGTCCATTGTAAGCAGCATAGTGTAAAGCTGTTCTACCAGATCTATCTCTAACATTTGGATTAGGAACATGATGTAAAATTTGTTCCACGCAATTATATGAATCGCTGGCTGCAGCAATATGCAATGGAGTTTGCCATAGCCTATCTCGGGCACTTACCTAAACAAATAAATATATTTTTGAATGCCTTAAAAAACGTTCTATATGATTTTCATATTAGACGGTGCTTAGTTTCTTTTTAAATCTTTATGAAAGTCAAACATCGCTAAATCAGTAAAGAATGTGCCAAACTTCAAATAAGTTCATTTAATTCAATTTACCTTTGTACAATTTTTGGTAAATATAACCAAATATTGCAAAAACAATTTTTTTTGGGTGATACAAACCAATACTAGCGTGTTTGTTACATTACATTCTAAACTGGCGTGCCAATATAGTATTCCCTTTAGGTTTTTTAAGAATAAACATTTTTGAAAAATGAATAATTAGTTTAAAAGGGCATTCAATTTGCTTACTTGCATGCTTGTTGCATGCCGCTAAAATGCATCATTATATGGAAAACTTAATTTGAAATAGTTTTATCAAGCTCGGAAAATAATACACAACTTATAAAAAATTAAATCACAACTTTATTAAAATACATAGCTAAATTTTCATGAAAACACTGTACTTTTGACATTTGCGATACTCCAACGCATACGCATTATTGATGTAATCTCATGATTTTACAGTACTAGTTTTTGCAATTTTGAGTGTGATTTTAAGGTTATTATGGTTATTCGTTTTGTTTGGTTCCTATCTTTTGCGTTTTTAGAGTATGTCTTTTATAGTTATATTTTTTAATTTGAATTTAAATTGTGTGGTCTATTTATATTTGATTGCTGCTTTTTGATTAGTGATTTGTTCTTTTTGTGTTAAAATAAGCTTCATAACTGATTTGAATAGAGCTATAACCTACCCGGCGATAGCCTATTTCGTTAATATGGATGATACTTTTATTAATTTAACGAATATTGGTAAATACTTTATTTTATGTAAAAATATATGACAACTTCAAAAGATAAAATTAGTGACAACCACAAACTTCTATAAAACAATATATAGGGTGCTGACAAGAACACTTCATATAAAGTGAGTTAACTTCCAACAATAACCATTATGTACCTGCTTCTGGTTGTTATCTACCTAATCGTCATCGGGTTCTTGCAACAATGGGGAAAAGTGTATGGTTTTGTGGTGTAAGTCAGACGCCTCCATTTTTCAGGTAAGGATGACTGGTTATTTTTTACTTAAAAGGATAGAAATACATCCTGGTTCTGGGCGCGACTGTTGGGTTTTAGCTATCTGAGCCAAATTGTCGGCTAAGTGTTCTCTTTTTGGGCACCCAGAAGCGAAAACTATATAGTTATATATCACGTTTTTTTGGAGTAACTTTTAATATGTATGCAGCTTGGATGAGGGCTTTAGAAAGAGATTCTAAGACTGAAACGCTGACTGCCATAAATGCCATTTTTAGTGCACATTTCATAGAAGTAACTTTATTCTAGCATGAACTAGGAAACGTTTAAAAAACATGCTGTACCAGCTATTACTTTAAGACCTCGTCTCTTTAATAAGTTAATATTACTTCATTTTAAAGCATATATTAAAATGGTTTTTAACTTGTGCCCTTATAATTAAAAGATGTAGGTATTTTAGTTATGTTATAATAGAATAATATGCTACATTGTATTGAACTGTTGGCCGCTGGCCATTTCACTTTTACTATTTTTTCATAAATTGTCAAATTATTTAAAAACAAATACATACCTAACTATTTTCTGTAAATGACATTAAAAATGTAAAAAACTTATTTCTCATCTATTGAATTGTTATTAACGATAAAGAATACTTTTAATTTATTAAAACAAAAATAAAACCTAAATCGATAACTTAAATCACTGAAAATAAGTTGCTTGAGATGGGGTCGTTTTTATGTTACTTTACTAATAAAACTACAGTTAATTTACCTTAGCACGTTTAATTTAAATGAAAATTTATTATCCTAATGACATTAATGCCACTATTCAAGGTTTTGGGCCTAATCACTTTAACATTTTTATGCTCCTAGTTGATATGTGTGTGTAAAGAGATCTGTTATTTCTATCAGGCTTAACACTCTCCATTAGATCCTTCTTGGAAAAAGCCTCCAGACTATCTGAAGGTAAATTTTACCAAATTTATATATTGGTTTATCTATTACAAATGACTTTCAAAACAAACGTTTGTTATTCTTAGAGTAAGAAATAATAAACATAAGTAACTGCCCTAATTTCTATTTTTTGACATTACCGTATATGGTAAAAAATGTGAATTTTTTTACTTAGTGGTAAGGACATACCTTTATGAAAATATACAGGGTGTTTTTAAATTCATGCTACAAAATTCAGTAGGTGATTGCTCGTATGAAATTAAGATGGGTCTTTCCTATAACAAAATTTACTCAGCCCATCCCTTTCCGAGATATCACCCTTAAAAGGTGGTGACTAAAATTGAGTTTTTATTTTTTTTTCTAAAATTTCAGTACAGCTAGAAACTTGAAATTTTGTAATTTTCGTGCACTCGCAAAGAACTAACCACGGGTATTTTTTCAATATTTCTGTTACATTATAGGGGGTGAAATTAGCAACCCTTACTTTATTTCATATCAAAACTTTTTTTGAGATGAAGTTTTATGAAATAAAATTATAACTTGAAATCCTTGTTTTGTTTAAAAAAATTTTTTATTCCTAAATTTTTCCCCAAAACCAATAGCTACACAGAAAAAAAATAAACACCTAATTTATAATTTTTTAAATAAATTGAGTGGAAAACAGTAAAGATGTAAAATGTAATACGATTTATAATAAATGCTGGAAATGATCACCTCTAGCCAAAATGCATTTTGAAAAAAAAAAAATTAAAACTCAATTTTAGTCACCACCTTTTAAGGGTGATATCTCGGAAAGGGGTGGGCTGAAAAAATTTTGTTATAGGAAAGACCCATCTTAATTTTATACGAGCAATCACCTCCTGAATTTTGTCGCATGAATTTAGAAACACCCTGTAGATTAGATTAGATTAGGAGCTGGACGTTACTTGTCCTTGTCCACCGCGACCTTTTCAGATCTATTATGGGACTCCGCTTGTTCTAGAGTATGTCGTCTAGCCTGGTCTTTTTTATTAGACTTAGTAGCTTTGACAGTGGCTCCCGCATGTAGTTGCATGCATTTGGCTTTTCTTCGCCCAATGTTAGAAACCTCATTCCAGCCAGGCAAATAGGAAAATATAACGGAAGAGTTAATTGGATTTTTTTCTTGTTGAGAATCAAAAATATTAATTTCTCATGATTTAAAAACAAATCCATGAAATGGCCAAATTAGGCCTGCAAATGCACTTTGTGTGTAATCTCACATGTATCTTTGTGACGTAATGTGCGAATTCAATTTGGCTTACGTTTGTTAATAGAGACTGGCGTTCCATTTTAAATATACAGTTCACTGGGAAAAGATTATATTATTTAAATATACACCTACTGGGAAAATAAGTATGAAAAAAATTAACTGGCTTCTGGACTAGTACTGTATCGAAGGAATTTTATGAATGAAACAAATCTACTACCCTACTTACAAATACTACAATACGCTAGTTCAGTGATGAGGTAATTATGGTTCCACTGACAATTAAAGTGACAGTAGATTTTTTGAGTACGTTTTGTTCATTTTGTTTACCTAAATTAGATCGTTTTTCCACTTTTATAAATATATTCCTAAAGTAAGTAGATAACATACATCAAATATACAATCGTTTAGTTACCAATTACATACCATTAAACTATTTTTCATGACCTGTAAACAATATTCAGAAATAAACTAAAAACCGTAAAAACGTATATGTCAAATTTATTGATGTTTTTGTTAAAAGTTTGGTTAGAATTAAATGTCAGTGGAACCAAAATTACATCATACTGAACAAGCGTATAAGGGTCGAGTCTAGTTACAGTGTTGTCAGACATAATTTTTTTTTTTTTTGGAAAATTTAAAGACAACATTATTTCAAGCAAAAGTAATTACATTACCACAGTTAAAAACATCGCAAACTTGGTATCAATGTTTTATCCAAATATTGCATTTCTGCCAAGAATCATCCGCGTTGGCTTCAGAAATTTTGTAAATAATCATATCTGTCTTGGTTATATATCTATGATTTTATTCACTTCTGAATTATGGAATTGTTTTTTGGGGTAGTACATACAGACCGTTTTCTTTTTACAAAAAAAAGCTTTCCGAATTCTGGTTGGTCTTAATCTTAGAGATAGTTGTAGAGATGTTTTTAAATCCTTGAACTTATTACTGTATTCAGTAATCAACCATATTTTTCCTCTTACATTATTGAACATAGCCATAACACCAGAAAAAGAGATTTTTAGATAGTCGCTTCATAGAACTAGTTTAATAAAAAAAGGTTGCTTATACAAATGCTTATTACTGTTCAATCTCTTTCCTATAGAAATGAGAAAAATTACTCATATCGTGTGCACAAAGAGGGAATCCTGTTGTTAGATACTATAAACCAAAAAAAGTTAAAAAGCCAGACTGTGAAGTGGAAATCAAAAGTGACAATTTTCGCATTGAGGCCTACAATAATTTAAAATTATAAGTAGTAGAACAAAAAAACTACTAACCAACTAATGAACGACAAAATTGTATCTCTGGAAAATGAAATTAAAATCGAAAACATTAAATACTTGGATCTACAATTAAAATTTAATGAATTGAAATCTAAAGCCGATGAAATAGAAAACAAAGATAAGAAACAAAAAAAGTTGTTTAGTGCCGATAACAAAGTATCTGTTTTTAGGTCAACTATAGATAAACTTAATTACCAAAAAAAGGGAATCCCTAGTCCCCAAATTCTACAAAGAAATAAGAAACAAAACAGTAATCAAGTAAATAAACAGAAAATCGATTATGCTGAAACAACGAAAATAGTAACTAAGGAAACTTATGAAAACTTAGAAAAAGGACAATTAGCTATTATGACTGAGTTAATAAATGGTACGGATGATACAAATCCTGATGCAACAAATACACATTTTAAAAATCAAGAAATATCATTTGAAACAGTAAAATACAGAAAAAGAAGACAACCGAGATGCCACATTGGTGTAGCAGAAGTAAATGATGCGGAAGAACTTAACAGTTTTGTAGGAAGAGCTAAAGAAAAACGATTGTGGCTTTTTATTAGCAAGGTTAAAGATCACATCACATAACACATCTAGAAAAAAAGTGTGACAGAAAAGATCTGTTATATGTAAAGGAATTATCAACATACAAAAAAACTGCTAATAACAAATGTTTTAAGATCAGCATGCAATATGATCTTATGGACCAGGCGTACACTGGAAGATACAGGAGAATATGACAATAAAAAAAAAACAAGACTGAAGAAATCAGAATTAATGAAGAACATCTGTCAAAAAATCATGGTAACAAAAACTTCATACTAATGCATTTCAACAGACAAGGTATACACAAAAAAAATTACTGAGCTAGAGCAAATTTTAAAAAAGAACAAAGTAGATATATTTTGTTTCTTTCAGAACATTGGCTAAACACTAATGAAATTGATATGTTAGAGCTCTGTGATTATTCTTTGATAACTAAGTATTGTAGGACACAATACCAAAGGGGTGGAATCTCTGTTTATGCAAAAAGTAGTATGTTAATAGAACCTGTATACTGCAATTTTACTATTGAGAAAGTTATCGAAATAAATGTTTGTAAATGTATCTTTAAAAATAAGGACATTTTTGTCATATCTCTCTATAGACCACCCAAATCAGATTTCAAATTGTTTACTGATAGGTTATGTGACCTTTTGTGTTTTTACTATAACCCCTCTAGATATTATGCTGTATGCGGTGATATGAATGTAGACTTACTTATTAATAGTAATGAAACAAATTTACTTATGAATATTTTTTGGGAATTTGGCCTGCACAACATTGTTACAAAACCAACACGGGTCACTAGTATTAGCTCAACTTTAGTTGATCCACTTTTTACATATATTGAATACAAAAATGTTATTGTTTAAAATAGTTAGACCATTCTCTACAAACCCTGTTAATTCAACTTGCAAATAACAAATCAGGTAGAAACTACACAATCTTTCATTAAGGATTTAAGTGACAGTAAAAAGCTTATCTTTAAAAATATAATTATTATGGAGTCATGGGAAGACATGTATGACTCATAAGAGTTCAATAACAAATTTAACAGCTTTTATTCGACTTTTTTATACCATTTCAACAACACTTTTACATTTAAAAAAGTTAAACCTAAACGAAACAAAAATAATTTTTATAACACAGAACTGAGTGCACTGCATGAGAATTACATAGTATATACATAACTAGTAATAATAATACATTAGAAATACATATAAAAAACTCAAAATAATTTATGATAATAAAGTCAAATCAGCAAAACTTTCCTAAAATAATAATAGGGTAATTAATGCAAAAAATTCAACAAAAGAATGTTGGAGAATTGTAAATGGTGCAAAAGGTAAATCAGTAAAAAAATTACCCATTGAGATGCTAAATTGTCAAGGCAACAAAATTTCTGGAGTTCAAAATATATGTAATGCTTTTAATAATCAGTTTACTGATGTAGGTTATCTTCTACCAAATTATAGTGAAGCAAGGCTTCAAGATTTTTCTATAAGCACTTTATTTTTAGGTTTAACTACCCCAAAGGAAATAACAGAAATTATACAGAAAACAACTAGTAAAAAATCTGCTGGTATAGATGAAATAGATGGAACAATATTGTCTTTTATTGGTGAAGATATTAGTGTACCTAGGTCCTACCTTATAAACGAGTCTTTTTTATGTGTTGACTATCCTAGCATATTAAAAACATCAAAATCCATTCCTATATATAAAAATAAAGGGTCTGTAAATGACATGGCAAACTATAGGAACATCTGCATTCAAAGTCAACTGACTAAAGTATTCTAAATGGCCTATAATAACAGGTTCATTAAATTTCTAGAACATAATAGACTTTTGGGTAAATTTCAACATGGTTTTCGCAGAAATAAGTCAACATCTAGTTCTATAGGGGAGTTATGCGATTTTGTTTACACATCTTTAAATAACAAGGAATTAAATATTACCTTATACTTTGACCTATCATGAGCTTTGACTCAATTGACCATCGACTGCTTGTAGATAAATTGTACCGAATAGGTATAAGAGGCCCGCCAAATAAGTGGATACAGTCATATATAAACAACCGTGAATAAGTTTTAACCATTCGATGTAGTAAATCAAATAGTTGAAATGTGACGACGGGAGTACCGCAGGGCTCAATATTGGGAACTGTTTTATTTTTAGTTTTTATTAATGACTTAGCTCTATCTTGTACAAGTCAAAGTACCAAAATTATACATGCATGACACAACTTTTGGAACACAGCTTAATGTTAATGTGAAAAAATCTGAAATCATGACCTTTCTACCAAAAAATATAACAAATGACTTCAGCTATTTCGTTAAACTAAATCATCAATCATTGATACAAACAAATTTGAGCAAATTCTTAGGTCTAATTCTGGACAGTTAGTTAACGTGGGAGAACCATGTAGATCATGTATCAAATAAATTAAGTAGTGTATGTTTTCTAATGAGGCAGTTAAAAAACACTGTAAATCCCGATGTTTTAAAATTAACATATTTTGGTTTGGTTGAATCAATTATCTCATACGATCTAATTTTTTGGGGCTGCTCAGCTCATCTGAAAAAAAAGTTACAAGATGCATGGCTGGGTTTTCAAGAACAACTAGCTGCAAACAACTTTTTCATGACTTTAAAATCCTAACACTTCCATCTTTGTATATATACTTACTAATACTTAATATAAAAAAACAGGAATCCCAACTATCAGATTATAGACACTTACACAATTATAAGGCACATAATTACAAATATCTACTGCAGTCTTTCTCTAGACTCTCAGTTGGACAGAATTGGGAAATCTACAGAGGTGTTGCATGTTTTAATTGATATACTAAAGTCAATGATAATGAAAAAATATTTAATATATTCAAAAATAAGCTTTATGCATATCTTTCATCCAAAACATATTATTCCTATGCAGAATTTATGAATGATATCGGTGATCCGTATTGGTATCTCTTTATTATAATTATTGTCTAATGTTTTTGCCCTATTGTATACTATTTTTAATTTGTACTTTATTTTAAACTCAATTGTAGCATGTTTCTATTTTTTAAAATTGTATGTGTTGACAAAGCTAATAGGTCTTATATGTTTATACATTTTTTAACCTTTCTAAAATATTGTAAATATGTATGTCACAAAGTCGAAAAATATTATTATTATTATTATTATAAAGATTTATATTCTTTCTAATATAAAATGCAAAGCTTATTAAATACGTAAGAATCTCGAAATTGGAATTTGTGTAGATATGACCTCTTGTCTTAGCAGGGCAGTATAGGTAATTACTTCAAAGATGTCAATTGTCAAAAAAAAATAGTAAAACCATTTTTTAAATGAATCATAATTAACACAATAGGTTTTTTCCTTTGCATCGAAAGTGTAGCACTGAGCTATGCCACTTTGAAAGTATCGTTTTATTTATACACATTGTATGGATACAACTACAAATTCCACTAAATATTTTTTTTTAGGAAATAATGATTTTTTAATACTCTATTTATGTATGAATACTTACATCTGCTTGATAATTCAAAAGTAAGTGAACAACTCCATCTGCTCCTACAGAACAGGCTCTGTGAAGTGGGGTAACCCATTTACTATCCTTGGCATTTACTCTAGCACCATTCTGAAGCAAAAGTGATGAAATTGTTGCTTCGCCCCTGTAGGCAGCTGCATGTAGAGGTGTGCGTTTCTCTTCGTCTGCTCCAAAACAAAAACTTGTATAAAATTATTCTGAAGTTAACCCTTTCCCAATAAAATACCTTATATACGTTTATTTTTACTTTATCAATCAAAACTGATAAACTTCTTTTTTGTACCTTGTATGATTAAAATGGTTTACCTAATGACTTAATTTTTAGAGTATCACTTTCTCCTAATCTTGTCTTTATAATTATTCATTCATTTTAAGCAATAATTTTTCAAGAGAAAACTATTTACTACAATATCCTTAGATAAGTTTACTGTAAAACAAATCACGAACTTTTTAAATAATAAATTTTCAATTACCTAAATAGTTAACGTCCTGCTTGTATTCTATTAATTCTTTAACTTCCTCTATCACACCAGCAAAAATAGCTTGAATTATGGCAGGCTATAAAATAAAAAATATGATTTTCTTGGATTAGACCTATAATCTTAAATTCAACAAACCTGTTCTTCTAATTGTAAAATTCCCATAATTAGAGTTCAATTATTGAATTGTATAAAAATATAAAAATATGTATTAAAACATTGTGCAAATAATAAATATAAAAATTTGTATTTTTTTCTATTTTTCTTGGATGTTGCAATTTGACATTCGACAGATGTGAATTTTTGACATTGACTTTTGACTTAACGATTATTTCTTTTGTTGCGTTTGATGCTGCGTTTGAATATCCACATCCGATACATGTTAGATGTTGTGAATTTTTTATCACGTGATAAAGGATTAAAATAGCGTGTTATTAATAAAAAATAATATAATTTGTCGTAATGAGCCCTTGGCAAACGTGACGTAGAATAACTGAACTATATTAAATTGGAAGAACAAAACCGATCAACAAAATCAAGAGGCACAGTGAGGTGATATTTGACACTTTGGCGCCCACATGTGCGTATCGAAATGCACTAAAAAGGATCCTCAAAATTCACATTACATTCAACTACGACACCTTTTAATTTAGGAAAATCCCTTAAAAATGATTTTTGATTAATACGTAGCTGAAACAAATATTCCAATATTAATAATTATTAAAATAACGAGTTATTAATAAAAAATAATATAATTTATCTCACTCGGGAGTATTTATAACAACCATTTTCTATTTCACTTTGTTATTGTCTGATCCACCTGCTTGTGGATTGAACAATAACAATGTGAAACAAAAAATGGTTATTATAAATACTCCCGAGTGAGATAAGAAATAAAAATGGCTGCGCCCATAGAGTCGCATCTTGTCTTATTGATACAATATGCACATTATTGGCTTTCTACCCCACTCCTGGGGGTCAATTCTCGACTTTTATTCCCATGGGAAAATAAAATTTTCCCATGGGAATTCAGTTTTCGTATTCTCGACATAAGCGGTGGAATATTTTCCAATGAGAAGTAAGGGAAAATATTCCCTTGCTTAGTTTGTGCATTAGAGTCGAAAATTTGACGAAAGACCACGCGAAAGTCTAAGACATAACCAAAGATTATATTGGATATCTTGGATTTTTAGTGAAATTGTTGTTAAAACATTTTTTTGGCGTATTTATAGATTGATATTATTTTATTTATGTAGGTATATTATTTTTAATTCTCTTTCACTAAGAAACTGTATAAACTGATTTTCCTAAATAATTTAGAAATTGTGGGAGCTGCTAAGGGACTGGCAAATAACACAAATTGAGTGTAGTAAATTTAATAAGAACTTTTCGAAAATTTTATTATTTTCGTTAATGAAAGAATTTCTTAGTTTCTCAAAACTTTCGTTGCTCTTCCATACAAAAGCTACCTTTTCTTTTTTCAACATGAGAAAAGAAAAACTAAGAATAACTCGACAAGTTTTAATTATTATACGTAATCGAATATTTTCACTTATTCTGGATCATGAATAGCGATTGATCGGCACGGCACCTGCTCGAGCGCGGAGGCTCGGCAGGTAATCGGATACTCAAAAACCACAACAAATACAAATATTGCCAACAGTAAATTTTAAAATATCTTTAATGTTATATTGGTTGTTTCGAAATATTCGTGAACTTAATATTAGACATACGTGAAACTACTATTTCCATGGGAATGTCTATTCCGACACGTTCGAGAATTGCATAACCTATTACCATGGGAATATAAGTAGTGGAATATTTTCTCATGGGAAAATTTTCCAATTATCTCGAGAATCGAGCCCCAGTTCATTGGGGTTTTCCTTAGAATATATATTAAGTCAGGAAGGAGGAATCCTAAACGACCTTGGAATCGCGATGGTATCTTATAGCGGATTCGACTGACTGCATTAATGCGCATTTAGTTCGACTTTTTTAAGTGATGTCTGTTCGACTGACAGAACCTAATTAGTTAAAAGTCAATTATTACATTCGACTCAAATTGCTCGGTACCAAGGCATAGTGAAATTTTTGTTCGACTGGCAGGTGCTCTTGCTCAAAGTTCGAATTTTTTGGAACTGTACTTTTTTTCAGTGCCAGTGTCATTTAGGAGGTTAGGAATTATTTAATATTTTCAAATATATTACCCTCTTTGTTTTTATTATTAGTGAGAATGGAAAATCTTTGAAATTAATAGAGATTCAATTTTTGGTTTGGCAACTATAAATAAATATCGTAAAAAAATTGTTAGAAACCTGAAATGTCAAGTGCTAACTGTTCCAGTCGAATAACAATAAAGTTGCGCTATACCAATATCGAACTCTAATTCGTGCTTGCTGTGTGCACGCTTGATATAAATTTGAATTATAAAATTGCTGCCCAAAATCAATTCAGAACTAAAAGCGCTTTGTCATCGAGCAAGAGCATTTGAGTCGAATCCGCTATTATTTTGACAGGGAACTAGACGAATATGGCGACAAGTGTTTCCGGTCTACCAGTGACGTACTGTCATAAAGGAGCGTAGAAAACAAAATAATAAATTCCCATTTGCATATTATCTAAATTTACCGATTTCTCTCATTTTAACGAATTGCTTTTTTCTTGCAAGAAGTTTGCATTTTTTTATTAACCTTTATTATGTGAATAAATTTTACTTTAAAATTGCATGTTGGGTGGGAGAAATAAAGGAAAATATTTTTGGGATAATTTATTATTTCAAAAATCAAAGCAATAGGGTATTAAAAAAAAATACTTTTTTACGTCTTTATTATGACAATCGGGTCGATTCTGTTTAATCTTGCTATAAAACTTGGTACCGTAACCATATTGTTACACCTATTAAGTTATAACAATATGGATGTCTAAATTCACATTCTGTTTTGGCCGATATAGCAATATTTGTTATTAGTTTTGGTCTCAGCAACATTGTTATGACTGTAATGTAAATTAGGCATTTTAGAGCTGACAACACTGTAAATCAAAGGTGTTTTGATGTTCTATGTTTTATACATAAAAAAGAAGAAGTATTTGGTAGGAATGTTGGAAATCTTTTGTTGATTTTATATATTTTAAAAATTTATTTGTTCAGTTCTTTTTCTTATTATTTGTAATTAGTAGTTAATCATTAGTAAAAAATACTAAAATGCCTCCGAGACAGGCTCGTAGTAGGAAAACAAGCAAAAGTCAAATGGAACTTGTAATCAACTTTTTAGAAAAAAATAATATTTTTATATAGGGAAAAACTCATCCTCTAAATCCACTGTCCACTGGAGGTAAAAAACAAATGCTTATTGCCTCACTTGTAGGTGAAAAGGAATTGTATCCCTTCTCCTTGATGCTTCTACCATTTCTAATAACTCTTCTATCAACTATATGAGCAGTATTCTTATGTAACCTAAACAATTTAATAAATTTCTTTTGAGGCAGTTCAAAAGGATTACTAGTATCTCTGATATGTCTGAATTCTAGTCTCAAGAGTTCCCTAAAATAAAAATATAAATGTTACTATTTACAACATGGTACTTATCCTTATCCATCATCTGCCCTAAAAATATTTATCTGTTCGCTATATTTTCATATTCATTTATAAAATGTAAGTGAAAAAATACTGGATCAGCCATTTTTAAAATTTTAATCACATTCACAATTCATATAACCACCTTGTTATCCCGCTAACAAGTACAAAAAAGAGCTTGCTGAAATAGCAAGCTTCTTTAGCAAGATCTATTAATAAATGACAGATCATATTGTTTAAAATCAACGATAAGAATACGATATTCTGCAAATCTTGCTATGATAGCAATATCTTTTGAAATTAGCTCCATAATAATATTGCTATGGTAAACAGAATCGACCCGAATAATGTCTTTATTAATCTACATTTTACACATTAGTAAGGTTTGAAAATAAATATGTTTTGTAGATATGCGTTAAAAAAATTAAATATCCTATACTTATATTTAGGTCAAACACCGCTGTGATATTTCTTTCTTAGATGTTTTTGTTGGAGTATATATAAGACTTCCTAATATCGAAGAGAATTTCTGATCATTTTATTAAATAATATGATTAGTACTTAATATTTTTTGCAGGACAATTTTGCATAAGCACTAAGAAAGGATCCTATAACGTAATAATTATTCCATGAGTGCAAAATAGATTATTTTTAAATGTACATTTAACGCATTATTTGTATGCTTAGTCCAGTTATGATGAGAGTCAATTTGTACTCTAAGATATTTGATATCATTTGTAATACTTATATGGAACTACTGAAAGTTACCTTTTATTGTTTCTATAGGAAGATGCCATCTTTTTTAACTGTATAATGGAACAACATAAGTTTTATCAAAGGTTTGTAAGTTTTTATAATTAAACCATTCGAAAATTTATATAAGATCTGTTTTTATTAATAATTTTAATCAATTTCAGTTCTCTGCATTTTACAGAATAACTGTGTCGTCTGAAAAACTTACAATATTTCCATCTGTATTTAAACGACAAATTATTTAAAATTAAATTAAACAAGATAGCACCTAAGACAGTATCTTGAGGCATGCGATATGCTACTTATTTCCTTACTTGAGATATTATTAATTCTATTTGTGTTCGTTTTTGTAAATAACTTTGTAATAAATTATATAGGGTGCATCACATTCATAAATAAACTTCTATTATACAAAAAAAACTGCACATGATATAGTTAGTAAAGAATTTATTTACTTTATATACTTCAACCAAACCAATTTTATTGTTGGAACAGCTGTTGGTAGAAGTCTAATTCTTGGTTTTGAGGTTCCATAAACAATCTGCTTTAAAATGGCGTGAACACAAAAAATTAAGATATTTTGGCTCACAATTTGTTTATTGCATGAACTCAAGCCATAACTTTGTTTTTTTGAGAATCTTTGGGAAATCTGAAAATTGTGTACTTGGGATTAATTTATATAATTTGGCTACCACTCCCGTCAGATTGATTAGATTAACGCGGACATGGCATGCACCTTCCTGACTATATATGTTCTAAGGGTTTTTCCGATTAGATGTGACAACTGACAGCTATGGATTGCGGGAATTAATCAGAATTAAGGACTTAATTAATTATTTAATTGTTTTTTTTTTGTAAGAAAACCGAAAAAATGAGATTTTAAAAATATATGCGTCCAAATTAAAGTAAATAGGTACATTCAAATAAAATTATAAACACAAATTTTAATCCAAAATATCAACTGTTATTTATTTCAACGGTCAACCATAAATAAATCGAATCCAACAAAAGGCGTTCAAGGCCGCATCGGCGAAAAAACGATTTTTGGACTCTTGGGTCCGTATTTGTAAACATAACTTAATTGATTCGGACTTGGGTAAGTCCTCCTTGAACGAAAATCGAAGTTCGGAGTCTTCATAGTTATATCCGAGAATAACCAAACGCCGAGAAGCGACAGCTTTGCCGGAACGTTTGATGTTTGTGGGGTCGATTTGCGGTGACCTTGAAGACACCATAATTACACCGCACGCAAGCTGAATTGGCTCGCAGTCGCGCTATCGCGCGGAAATTTGTAATTTACACTGCTCAACTCTAAATATGTTTTTAGTAAGGGAGTAAATTTTTATTTTGCATTTAAAATTATATAATTCAAAACAGTCGAAACTACAGTTGTTGCGCTCGGATCAAAATCTCTGGACACCTTCGTATACGGTGTCGCGCTGATCTAGCTGGCCACATGCAAATAGACACCATATTTTCGATCATGCGCCGTCGAAAACCGATCCGACGGGAAAGGGTCTTTGTCGCTTCTCGGCGTTTGGTTATTCTCGGGTTATATCTGGTTATCGCGTAAATTTATAGATGGGTAGTAACAAATCCGTAAATGTACATAACAGTTACAGATTTGTTAATATCCATCTCTAAATCCCAATCTAACACCAAAACCACCTAAAACCCCAGATAAATAAATAAATATCTGAGCCTAAAACTTTAGAGACGTTGTAACCGAACTTCGATTTTAGTTCAAGGACGACTTACCCAAGTCCGACTCAGGTAAGTTCTGTTTACAAATACGGACCCAAGAGTCCAAAGTGTGGTTGCGTTTCAATAATCGATCGCACCTTACTGGAGTGCGTTTAGAAACCTCGCACGGCGCGATTCTTGCATGTGGTGCGCCGTGCGAGGTTTCTAAACGCACTCCAAATGTCTAATGTAAACAGTGTTGCCGTTGCTATTACAATTGTAACAAATCTATTACTAAAAAATTACATTAGTACGTTATTACGACTTTTAAGAAAAAACAAATAATCTATTACTTTTTAAAATATCACAATTTTATGAGTGGCCCCATCTAAGCTTCAGAGGCCATATTTAAAAAATTTTGAAATCTATACATTTGTTATGCCTGTGTTTTTCAAAATAAGCATCCTTTATTATATAATATTTTTTTGTTATGACTCAGTTTTTAGTTTAGTAGGGGATTACCACCAGCCTCCAGCAGTTCAGCATAATTTATATCTTTTATTTAATAACGTAGAAACCCTCAATTTATATTTAAAGTACGACTATAGCTATTTATACATGTAATATCTTCTCATTTAATAAATAAATAATATTAAAACCAAATTAAGAAATCGTCTAAATGTGGAAAGATGCAATTCATTAATTTTAACTAAGCAGTTATTGAATGAAAATAACTGTTGTAATTTTGAGCGGAATGATGCTTTGTTAAATTATAATGTAAATAAAAATGATAATGATAATTTACAATGTGCAGAAGATTTAACATTTTAAATATTTATTTACACACATGGTATATTTACATGTGTTTACATTATACTTCCTTTCTTATTTTTGTTTGAAATAAATGTTTATTTTTACAATCATGGTTTTTCTTCATTATACTTTTCGAAACTTATTATTTCTATTAACCAAACCGATATATTTGATAATACACAGTTTTATTGTTAAATTTATTTAATATTAGTTCTGGTACATTTATGTTACTTTAAAATATTATCTATTACGATTTTATTACCTTTTGGTTCAAAATTCTATTACGAAAAAATTAATTGGTGTGGCAACACTGAATGTAAAGTCAACGTCAAATGTCAAACTGGTCAAACTACAAGCCAAGCGAAATTAGTTATAGGTTAATAAGAATAAATTATATAAAAATACGTAAGAACTAAATAATGGCGCAAAGGTTTCCCGTACCCGTAGTAAATCAAGGTCCTGGCGGTCCGCCTCCGCCTCAAAGATATCAACAGCAGCCTCCAAATCAAGGAATGAGGCAGTATGGGCAACAAAACTTTCCACCCAGACCTGGATATAATCCTCCACCTCCAAATATGCAATCAAGTGGTGGTACAATGATCCAAAGACCTCCTGGGACCCCATATTCTCCTATGCGTGGAGGACCTATGCCCCCACAACAAGGAAGTAAAAGACCCACAGATAACAGGAACCCCTTACAACAAAAAACTAATGATTATCCTCATGGAACGAGCAAGAAAAAGAAGAAATTAGCGGACAAAATTTTACCCCAAAAAGTAAGAGATTTAGTTCCAGAAAGTCAGGCATATATGGATTTGTTGGCATTTGAAAGAAAACTTGATTCAACAATTATGAGAAAAAGACTAGATATTCAAGAAGCATTAAAACGTCCAATGAAACAAAAACGAAAGCTAAGAATTTTTATTTCTAATACATTCTATCCTGCTAAGGAACCTCAACCCGAGGGGCCAGAAGGGCCTTGTCAGGAAGGTTCTGTAGCATCTTGGGAACTTAGAGTAGAAGGTAGACTTTTAGAAGATTCTAAAAATGATCCAAATAAAGTTAAACGTAAATTTTCATCTTTCTTTAAGTCTTTGGTAATTGAACTTGATAAGGAACTCTATGGACCTGATAATCATTTAGTAGAATGGCATAGAACATTGACTACACAAGAAACAGATGGCTTTCAGGTAAAGAGACCTGGTGATAAAAATGTCCGCTGTACAATCCTGTTACTACTTGATTATCAACCACTACAGTTTAAACTTGATCCTAGACTGGCTCGTCTTCTTGGTGTGCATACACAGACTAGGCCAGTCATCATTTCAGCTTTATGGCAGTATATTAAAACGCATCGCCTTCAGGATTCTCATGAACGTGAATATATTGTATGTGATAAATATTTAGAACAAATTTTCAACTGTACTCGTATGAAATTTGCTGAAATTCCACAACGTTTGAATCCATTATTACACCCACCAGATCCAATTGTTATAAATCATGTCATATCTGTAGAAGGAGGTGCTGAAAGTAAACAAACTGCATGTTATGATATTGACGTTGAAGTAGACGATACCCTGAAAACTCAAATGAATAATTTCTTATTAAGTACTGCCAGTCAACAAGAAATTCAAGGTCTGGATGCAAAAATTCATGAAACTGTAGATACTATCAACCAGTTAAAAACGAACAGGGAATTTTTCCTTAGTTTTGCTAAGGATCCACAACAGTTTATCCATAAATGGATCGTTTCTCAAACCAGAGATCTTAAAACAATGACGGATGTTGTTGGAAATCCAGAAGAAGAGAGAAGATCTGACTTTTTTTATCAACCATGGGCGCAAGAAGCTGTTTGCAGATATTTCTACACAAAAGTTCAACAGAAAAGGGCAGAATTGGAACAAGCTCTTGGTATTCGTAATAATTAAGATTAGTTTTAATGATATTCAAAAAGTTATTAGTTTTAAGTTGTGTACCCATTTTAGTAAAACTTTTCTCCTGTATCAAGATGTGGCAAACTAAATTGCGAAAAGTTTTAGTTTGGTTTATATCATAATGCAGACTTCTAAATAATATATCTTTAATTATTATGGAAGCAGAAAAATACTAGTTTTAGTTTTTATTTTTATTTTAAATATCAAAAGAATTTTTTTTACAAAATATAACACTATAAATAAAAGAAGTATTAATAAATCATATAAAATTATCAAGAATTTTTTTTGCAGCATTTATCTATATAAGGTAACTGCACCAATAATTGACACTATTAGATGCTGATTTGTATTAAATAATTATTTTCACCAATAACAAAAAAATTTAAGCATATAATACAATTTTTTCGTGTAGCTTATAGTTTCTTGAGTTCACTAGTTATGTATTTTTAGTTCTAATAATTTTGCTTTGCATGGAATAAATATTATAAAAAAAGTGTTTGGAAGTAGCAGTCATTGACACTTGATTTTTTTCATGTACCAGTAATTGACACACCAATTATTGACACAAATTAAGGAACATTTTTTTATTATAGGTACTTTTAATTTTGAATACACTAAGTAAATAAAAATAAACAGCAAATTTGTAATACAAAAAATAAAAACAAAAAAAAATAAATGTGGCACTCGGGGACTGCCGCGGTAAAGCTATTGCATAGCATTTTTTTATCAACTTATACAATTATAATTATTTATTTATTTATTTTATTTATGCAATTTTTTTTTTTTTTAATATTAATTCAATCATTAGTTTAATATTTTTATTATTTTACAATACATGTAGGTTATTCAGGAATTTTTATCATTGAAACTATAGGTTTATGGTAACTGAAATAAGAAACATAAGTTTGAGACTTGATATCCTCTAAATATCTGCAAAATACCGCGTCAATGGTGGTCCCATATTTTGTTGTGGATTTTTGTGAATTATTCATTTTCAAATCTAATTTTTCCGAAATTGGCCTAAAAGAGATATAATCAGTTATGATAGCCCAAGAGCCCACTGCAAATTTTTACCGTCATCTGATAACGAAATGAAATATACCCCAAAAGCATGGAAAAACAGTGTACTTTACCAACTGGCCCCTGTGCCAATCCCAATCCTGAGCAAAGTGGCTTAAAAAAATTATTTTATATTAAAAAAATCACATAAGGTATGACAGCGCTAATTTTGTTTGCCCTTAAAGTTTTCCAGAAAATAACATTCAAATAAATCTTGATATATATCGTTAAAGGGAAACATTTTCTTCCTCTTAACATTGCACAAAAACATCTATCCACGATTAGTAGATAAAAATCATTAAAAATATGAATCAATGTTTGCTGATTTAAAAATTTATTTGTATGCCTATTGTTGTGATTTATTTTTACAGGTTGCCATAGAAACGACAAAAAAACTACTATGATTATGGTTTTAAATAATTGTCTAACAAGAGTTTATAATTATTATTGACTATCTCTGCAAATGGTTTATACAAATTCATCCTTCTTCCTTTCATACATAAACATGATTTAAAAGATAGGTAAAAATATTAGTAATTCAGGTTTAAAAGCTAGATTCACAATGAATTAGGATTGTAATTTTCAGGGAAAACACAATTGTCGCTGTCATGTCTTATGTGATTTTTTGAATATAAAATATTTTTTTTTAACCACTTTGCTCAGGATAGGGATTGGCACAGGTGTAATTTGGTAAAGTACAATGTTGTTACATGCCTTTGGAGCATATTTTATTTCGTTATCAGATGCTCAGATAAATAAATAAATAATAGATACAGCCCTATCATGCAATATTTGTAACCAGCATCTTCCACCACTATGTAGCAGTGGTTACACGACTTGATTGGATATTCGCTATTTTGGTTAATCTTTTGATTGGTTAGCAAAAAATTGACAGGAATACAGTTGTCATTTTATGGTAATTTTGTGCTGATATCGTTCATTTTATCGTTTATTTTAATTGAAATTTGTTTGTGGTTTAAATAGTTTTGGTTCATTTAATTGATTTAAAATGCCAATGAAGTGTGTTATGTGTTCGAGAAAGTATCTCAAGTTCGGTTCGATAACGTTTCATAGGCAATTATAATTTTATTATAATTCAAAATAAGGTAGGTTTGAACAATTTATTTTAAAGTTTAAAATAACATCGAACGTCGAATTTCGAATTATTGTATTGTGTCTGTCTTTAATAACTTTGAATGTATCAGTCAATGAATTAAATTAAGATTATATTGTTATGCACGCTGTACATTTAAGAATGCTCTAGTGGCATTCCATTCCATATAAATAATAAGAATGTTTTTTTTTTAATTATTTATTTAAAATTGTGTTTATTAGGGATTGTAAAATTCATGTCATGTCATGTCATGTCACGGATATTAAAAAATCAAGTTACATTACATATTTGTTTTAAGAAATCAAAAGGCATTAACACTTGAATTTTTTATGATTTTCTGATAAAATGAGATTTTATTTCTTCATTTAAAGTACTATTTGCATGCATACATTAGTTTAGTACCTCATTTATTACTTGATGAATTCAAACAGAGTACTGGAATATAACAATTTGAATTTAGTAAATGCGGCAATTATTGTTGAGCGAACGGTTTTATTGGTTTACAGCCTTCGTCCTCTTTTGGTCTACTAGAATTTGATTGTGTACTTGAAATATTCGGATACTTTCTATTTAGTTTTTAATTCAGTTCCGGCTATATTTTGTTAAATTTAGCAAACCTGTTTTCTTAGAGACACACTATGAGTATTTTTTTTATATTATCCCTGCAGCTACCTTATTAAAGTAGATAATGCTGTAAGAATATCTCTCCATATCAAATCTTGTCCAAACATGAGTCTTATTGATCTTGATTTGAATAATTGTCTGTAATACCTAATATCTTAATACATCGGTACATTTAAACATACCTATATTTCACAGATCTTGTTGATTAATTCTGTAAGACCCAATTTATTGCAGAAATATTGGATAGAAGATATCAGATAGACGTCTACACTAACTTATTCAAAGCTTTTGACAAAATTAATCATACCCTACTGCCAGGCTGGATTCATATAAAAAAGGATTGGGATTTAAATCAAAATTGATAAATCTGGTTAGTTCATATCTTTTGAATATACTACAATTTGTACCATGCCTTTTGGATATAAATCAGCGGCTACCTTTTATCAATCATCAGGAGTACATCAAGACTCTGTTTTTGGACTACTTTTGTCCTGTAAATTGGGTCTATTTCTAACTGACAAAAATTCATCAACATTAAGAGCAAACCAAACACCTCAAAAATCTATAATTATTCATTCTGTGCCTTTATTTTTAGCCCGATTTTTGTAAAATTTTCAGGAAATACCAATAATAACAAGACTTAGGATTAAGAAACCTTGAATTTTTTGTAAAACTTCGAAAATTATTTATTTTTAAAATTAATTAAATTTATAAGAATTTGCTTCTTTTTATTTTAATAAATATCTAGTAGTTTTTAAATGGGATGATTTCCCACCTTTTTTCTTAAATGTCAAATTGTCAAATAATATCACAAAGTACTCCCAGTGACACGCATGTAATATTAATAATTTTAAATTAGAAAATCTTTAAAACATTTTTGCTTTCGCGAAAGGTCAAAATAATCAATGTTAAATATTAGTACAAAATTTCAGAAATAAAATTTATAAAACTAGGTATATCATTGCAACGTTTATTCAAATTATTTGAGCACATGGTATAAACATAGGTAATTTATGTTTTTAATTTAAAAAATATATTTGTCGACTAAAAAATTCATTTTTGACGGTTTTCTATTAACATCCCATATTAGAAACATTGGTCTACTGAAATATCTCCATACTAATAAAATAATTTAAATAAATAGCATTTCTATTGACATTTATTTGATACGCTACTGGATAATAAAAGTAAACAAACCGCGCTATTCCCCTCGTATCAACTGAGTTGTATATGTTGCTTTCAAACAAACACAATGTAAATTTTTGACATTCAGATATCTATTATTTTTTATTTATCTGAGATCAGATGACGGTCGAAATTTGCAGTGGGCTCTCATACTATGAGCAGTTAGCAGCTAGTCTACACGCATACGTCTAGTCGCACGCACACACACCGTGCCGAAGTCTGCCGAACTGAAACGACGTTAGACGATGCACAGCTTCAACGCCGCACCGCTGTGCCATTCGGAATGGAGGGTGTTAGGTTTATTTTCGTTACGGAATTTCTTTTTGGATTTTTTGATTTTTCGATTATTCGTATTTTCAATTTTTCAGTTTTCGATTGTTTGATTTTTCAATTTTTCAATTTTTCGATTTTTCGATTATTCGATTTTTCGATTATTTGATTATTCGATTTTTCGTATTTTCGATTTTTCGATTTTTTGATTTTTCGATTTTTCGATTTTTCGATTATTCGATTTTTCGTTTTTTCGATTTTCTTTTATTAAATAAATGAGAAGTTAATATTGTTTAACGCCGCACCGCTGTGCCGGTCGGAGTGGAGGTGTTAAGCCTTGGTTTCTTTGAACACTTCGTCGCGGTAAGCGGACAGTCCGTTAACCGTCGCGTTTTGACGATTTTATCCAACCAGAGTATTTAAATGGGAATGGTTTTCTTGAATCCGCTTAGCTGAGCAGGACGGCGTCATGCCGCTGATTTGTCGCGAAGAGTCGGTTGATATCTGTTGAGTTTGATATCAGCGGAATCGTCGGCGTGTGCGGAGACTATATTGTTATTAATTTTAAAACAATGGGTGACAAATTCACACATACAAATGACATCATGACTTTATGACTCTGTAGAAAGTCTAAAATACTCCCTAAATTTGGTTTCATTTCCAAAAAACCTCAGCTGCACAATGATATTAAAGGCACCTTCTATATCGCGACACAAAAACAACTCATCCACTGGCTTATTGGAAACTTTGACGGTTGCAATTGCCAATTGTTCTTCCTCTTCCAACAATAATAACAACGCAAACAATTTATTTGCATCCATTTTAGTACCTTTCGTTTACATTCATAATACATAAACAGCACGTACAGACCTAGAGAAAGTATCATTTTCTATATTTTTTAACAAACCACCTCGGGCGAAAATTGCTGTCCTCAGCGGTCGACGGACTGTCCGCTCACCGCGACGGAGTGTTCAAAGAAACCAAGGCTTTAGATTTTTTTTCGTTACGGTGTTACAGAATTTCTTGATTCGGTCTCCGCGCTCAAAGCCTGCGATTAAAGCTATGCAATAGCTTAAAATGAAAATTTA